TATCGAAATAAGCAATGATTATTTCAGATATTGTCAAGAGTTAACAATAAATGTTTCTGTTTAGTTGAGCTTGACTTCTGCTGAGTTCATGGCCCCCTCCATTGATTTGTCTTGACAACAGTAGAGAAATTTTGGCCATTGCCTCCTCCCTCGGTTGTTTTACATAGCGAACCGAATAATGAATCTGTACAATCTGTATATAAGAACAGAGGCATCTATCTACTTATGAACTAGGAGGAATTCAGGATCATTTTGAAAAGTTCCTGTGTCGGAGTGGGATATCCTATGTATGTGGAGTGGGAAGATCCACATACTTAAGCAGTGAATTATAATGAAAAATACTTGGCTGCCATAAATTTAAGATGCATATAGGTTAAGCCAGTGGTGGAATTCAATTTTTTTTACTACCGGTTCTGTGGGCGTGGCTTGGTAGCAGTGGCAGGGGAAGGATAATGCAAAATCTCCATTCCCACCCCACTCCAGGGGAAGGATACCGCAAAATCCCCATTCCCTCTTCACTCCTGGGGGAAGGATATTGCAAAATCTCCATTCCCACCCCACTCTGAGGCCAGCCAGAGATGGTATTTGCCGGTTCTCCAAATGACTCAAAATTTCCACTACTGGTTCTCCAGAACCTGCTGAATAGCACCTCTGGGTTAAGTCCATCATGGCTTGCTCATAGCCATTTAAAAATGATAGCAATAGAAAGCCATCACAGAAGGCTTGGGTTTATTTGCTCGTTTTCCCATAAGATTAAAAGCAGAAAATCCCCATATTTAAATCAGTATTTATATTTCTTAGCCCCTTCTGTCACTCCACCATCTATCAAGCCACAGTCTTTTCTTACAGATTATGGTTCTAATCAATGGTACATTCCTTGGAGTTTGAGTCTTTTCCACCCAATGCAGGTGGGGTTTGCGTGGATGGAAAATTACCTTGAGATTCTCACACTTGCAGAGAGACCTGGTCTTGTTTCTGTACAGAGTGGAGAGCAGATTTCTTAATTGTGTAATATCATGCAATAGATACTGGACTGTCACCACAAGGCAATATGTCTCGCACAAGGATAATTGTTTTCACAAATGTGCCGTTTTACTCAGCAGAGCCCTCTCCTACATATCCTCAGCTTGGTTCATTATTTCTAAAGACAGTTGCAGAATGCCCAAAGATTGATCGGATATACTGAGCCCAGACCAGAGGTCTCCAACCTTGGCAATTTTAAGACTTGTGGACTTCAACTCCCAGAATTCTGGGAGAATTCTCAGAATTCTGGGACTTCAACTCCCAGAATTCTGGGAGTTGAAGTCCACAAGTCTTAAAGATTGGAGACCCCTGGCCCAAACTATGTGCTTCCTCATCTTCACACTGGAGAGAGTAACAGGCAGGGAGAGGATGACCATATAGGGTAAGAAAGTTGCAGGTCACTGGGAAATTGAGTGGGATCAGTATCAGATCTGCATATTTGGGAAATGTGGCAAAATGTGCTCAAAACATCAGGTCAAAACCCCCAGATACGTGGAACTGAATGTTGTAAATAATGAGGTCAAGTCTATATTTATCAGCCATAGAGTCAGGAAAACTGTATATATGTACACATCATTTTCATTTGGATAAATTTACAAATGGAACCGTTTGCTGAAAAAAAATTGCTTAAAAAAAACCCCAAATAGGTCGCTAACCTGAAAATATTAGAAATATGTATTTTCTATCTATATAGATAGAGATATTTTTAAAAAGTTCCTCTTGAACGGTTTTTTTTTTTTTTTTTGCAGTCCTGGAATAGCAAGACCCTTTAGTCTAATCCAGTGAGGCAATTCTTATGATTTATTTTTAATGATGTAATGTTAGAAGTCTGGCACAGTGGCTATAAGATTAGATAAAGCAGAATCTGGAAAAGCACTGTTTCTAATTAAACTGTCCCTTTGTGCAGATTAGGCTGGAGACTTAGCTTGGGTTTGCTTTTTAACATCGAGCAAGCTAGTTGTAGCAAGTTGCACGCTGCTCCTGCTGCATAAAAAAGCTGTTTCAATAGTGCAGGAGCATGGCTTCAAGAGGCAGAAATGGCAGCATAGTCTGATTGGATGTTAGTCGCATTTGTCTTGGGGGGAAAATAAAGTTGACGAATACCCTTTTTCTTCCAGCACTGATATCATTAAGACTTCCCCTGCTACACTACAAAATTCTTGCATTCTAGGAGAACTCACTGAAAAGAGCTGCTCTGATTTATAATCCTTTGCAGGGAAAATGATAAAATTGCATCTGTGATATTTTCTAATAAACATGGACCTTAGGCGACTTAATTTAGTTAAATTGCCTCAGTCTCGAAGAAGTCAGAACTGTGGCTAATTACATATTTTCTCCATAGTTCTATTATATTTCTGTTAATTATCTGAATGGAATCAATAAAAGGAGAATATTTGAGGCTCAGGATTGACATGAAGGTCCTGGGTGATCCCTGATTGTTTTCTTGCAGACACTTAATTACCCAAACTAGTTAACATCATCGGTACTGAATGGAGCTTAGATTCTCACTTGATTCCATCTTTTAAAATGTCTAATTTTCTTATTACATTAAATTATATCTGTTCATAATACAAAAGCCCAAATTACAGTATTTTAATATTTGTTTCCTTCTACTTTATTTCCAAATGTATCTTATGAAATAGTATATTGCTATGTATTCATAAAATAGCTCTGAAGACATCAATCTTTAACCAATGGCAAATTACTGCATTCATTTCTGTGGAATATATAAAATCTGAATATCTAGTGGAAATACCGAATTCCCGTATTCTTCTTAATGTCTATTTCCAAAGCTCTTACATGTGAGTTGTTCAAAGATGTAAATTAAATTTTAAAAATAGTTAACTCTTAACCTAAAGATAGTTAAAGTAATAGAAGAACTGCGTGTATGTTTTTCAGGATTTGTATACTATCCAATTATAAATGTTCTTTAGATAATTTAGAAGCACAACAACTTGCTCAGGACAAAATAAAAGGGCTAGGGAAGTGGGAAATATCCTGGGAATCCAGAGAGGCTTATGGAGAGCTCTTTTATTTGTTCGACTTTTGAACGGTTATTGTTTAGTGACTGCTCATAGCAACTATGGCTACCATTTTATGAATGAAGCCAAAACCTGCTCTCAGAATTCCAGTTATGTTTTCTGGTTTAGTCTGCGAAGCATTTAAATAGTCAGTTGAAGAAGATAAGCACTGCTGGAAGACTTAAAAGTTGGTAGAAAGTCATACAGCCATAATAGGATGATATAATGGTGCAACTTCAGTTAAATCCCTGGACCGATCTTGACCACTAGGGAGCAGCAAGCAGCAACAAACAACCAGCCATTGATACATGGATTGTTGAGATCATTCTATGGTCCAGCACACAATCCTTTCTGTTTACAGAGAGAAAGAGAGATAAAGAAGCAGAACATTTATGATGTATAGAAGATGGTCTATTTTAAAAACTCTTTATTTTTCTAAAAAAAAGGTGCTTAATTCCAAATATAGTATAACGTTATTGAAGTTGGACTAACGATACATCCATTGAGTTTGATTCCAAAATCAGCTAGTTGCATCACAGTATAGATACCTCAACTCCAGATCACCATTTTTGTGATAAAGCTGGGAAGTCTTGATCTACTTTGAATCTGGCAGTGGCAGAGAACTTGGACACATCCTGGAATGCCTCCTGGGATCCTACAAGATTTAAAATACAAAATATCTTTCCTAGTTTTAACAATTGTTTGAGAAACAGGACAATCTGGAACTTGTAGGATTAGTTTCTTTGTGACTGATGGTTTTGGCCAGTAAATTCTTCCCCAGTACAGATGCATGTTAAGATTAATAGAATTTGTTTCCCAAATGAAATAATTCATAATAATCTTCTCTTATTCATTAATAGAGGTCTCTGCCTCTACTTGATATGTTAACTAGGCTGTCATCCTGCTGCCTAGATTAATACTTCTCTTCCTCTTACAAAGTCTATTAAAAGATAATTAAAAGGCCTAACCAGTCTAGATACATGATCATATATTTTCCGTTTTTAAAAAGTTGAAAAGTTTGAAATAATTTTTCAAGACTTTCCTGTTCCATCCATCAGAATCCTAGGCATTCTGATGACAATCAAATATAGTGCACATTATCCTCCAGACTTACTCTGACCATAAAACATATATCAGAATAAGACTAGCAAGGAATATGTGAAAGGATGCTGTCTGTGGCTACTGTTGATTGCTATAATGTTTTAAATATTAGATGAAGGCTATAATAGTATAATTCAGTAAATGCAATAAATATTGGATAGACTTTTATTTGAAACTTTTTACAATATAATAGATCTCTCTGTGGTACAGCAGCTATCATAGTTCTCGGTCAATAAAAACACCAAACCATCTATCCTCAGTCAGATTTTAAAGTCATATTTCATGGGAGAGTTAAAGTGCTTTTGAGAAAATCACTAGAATGTCAAAAAGTATGAACCAAATGCCTCTTGTGCATTGTGGCTTTTCTTGCCTTTCCTATTTGGATCTTTATATCAAGACTTTGATGCCATGTAAAAAGAAGTTCACCAAAAATTTTGAGATTGAGAGAATGGAACCTTGCTGGAACAGAAATGTCTTTCCATTTCTGTAGAATCCTGCTCGGTCCAAACCAGTGTAATTCTGAAACATTTGTTTGAACATTTGGTTTGCTTCTTTTTAAATAATACATGGAATCCAATATTCTAATTTTTCTTTTAGTAATTTATATAGGAAAGCTCGTGTAAAAACTGGTGACATTTTTGGCATCGTAGCCAGTTCATCCTCCTCGTTCTCATACAAATGGATGGTTGTTACGTTGCTGTAAACTGAATTGATAGCATTGATATACGTCTTTCAATTCTTTAACTGTTTATCAAAAATAATAATATATTATAATAGGATTGTAGTACTATGCTGAAAAATGTTTTCTTTTCAAAAAAATGAATAAGTAAATACTTTTTCTTTCCTTTTTCTCAGTATCTGCTCTCACAACCAAAGTTCTGGGCAATCCAAACCTCTGCTCTTCTTCTACGAACAAAACTTGAGAAGGGAAGTATTCGTCGAATGGAACGGGCAGTGAAGCAGACCCAGGTATCATTTTTCTTGGTTTCTCTTCTCCTTCTCCTCCAAAATGTTAATCTTAGTATTCAATTTATTCAGATTCATCACCAGCTTTGCCAATCAGCACTAATGGAAGTTTCAGTTCAATATAGTTGTAGAACATTGAACTGATGGGCACAGTTTTGCTGATTCTCTTTGTGGTTTTACTTTGGAGTAAGGAAAATTGCTAGAATGTTTTAATAGATCCTCATCTTCTGATCAGAGCAACTTATTTTTTTCATGAACCCACTTCAGAAGAGGGACTACTTCTGAAGCTGCAGAGGGCCTAATCTGCAGAGGAAACGGGACCAAAAAAGTCATAGTGAATATTGCAAAGTACAAGAGAAGAAATGAGCTAGGTTTGGATCCCCATTGATGTTTTTCCAGTGCTTCAATGAAGTAAAATTAACCACTGAGAAATCCTTCATTGACAAATACCTGAGCCACCATCTGATTCCTGTTGCTGAATGAAAAACTCTTAATGGATAATTTTGAGAGGGTGCCAGTAATTTAACATTTGCAACCTATGCTAGCCAGTTTTTCTTTTGAATTGGCCGCAGCTGGCTCTTTCTTGTGGCTTCTTCAAAGGAGAAGTGATGTTGTGGTTAAGCTGACTTATGTCATAATTTATCTTCAATGTATCGTTTAAATGAGTCATTTGAAATGTGTATTTGACTGAAGATAACATTTGTATTTAGGCTGGAATAAAAAATCCTAGCTAAACATACTCAGTTTTTTTAACTGTTCTCCATAGGACTTGGTTTCTAGACTTCTTACATCTTGGCAGCTTCCTCGTTCCAGTTAGTCCAGACTGTGGTGTTCAGAACTGGACACAGTATTCCAAGTGGGGCCTAACTAAGACAGAAAGTATGAGATAATTATTCCCTGTGAACGCTCAGCTTTTGTTCATACATCCCAAAGTAGCATTTGTCTTTTAAGTAGCTGCATCACAAGGTTGTCTCATGTTCACTTAGTGATGTACTGGAACAATGTTTCTCACATTGACACTTTAGGATGTGTGGACTTTAACTCCAAGAATCCTAAATTGTCAAGGTTGAGAAACACTATACTCAAAAACCCAAATCTTCTTCACGTATATTAATGCAATCCCCATCCCACCAAACTCTTAACTCTCTAAATCTCTTCACTCTCTTGATTCTCTGTTTGTCTCCTGTACTTTGAGTTTCAGTATGTGGCCCTGTACTCATTTTGGACTTTTATCACCACCTCCTATTTTTACCCTAGTTGAGTAAAGTTTTAGTGTCATCTTTTCCTACAACAATCTGAAACTGACTATCTCTTCTATTCTATGGTCTCGTATTCAGCCTGTGTGGGCCTTTTTGTTTAAAATTGGCTCTTTTGCTTGTCAGAACTGATCCAAGGTTTCATCATTAGTTTAATCTTCACATTTTGCAACCAGACACAGACTTCAACGGATAATTAGAACTGCAGAAAAAAACAATTGCTACCAACCGGCCTTCCATTGAGGACCTATATACTACACAAGTCAAAAAGAGGGCTGAGAAAATATCTACAGACCCCTCAGATCCTGGACATAAATTGTTTCAACTTCTACTCTCAAAACGACACTATAGGGCACTGCACACCTGAACAACTAGACACAAGGACAGTTTTTTCCCAAATGCCATCACTCTGCTAAACAACTAATTCCCACTATCAAACTATTTACTAAGACTGTATTACTATTATTCTTCTCATCCTTCCTATTACCTATCTCCTCCCACTTATGACTATAACCATGTTGTTTGTATTTTTACGATTTATATTGTTCTGTTTATTTCCTAGTATGATTTGAGTAACCTATGACTATCACTAAGTGTTGTATCTTATGATTCTTGATTAATGTATTTTTTTCTTTTTTTCCTTTTATGTACACTGAAAGCATATGCACCAAAGACAAATTCCTTGCGTGTCTAATCACACTTGGTCAATAAAGAATTCTGTTCTGTTCTGTTCTGTTCTGTTCTGTTCTGTTCTGTTCTGTTCTGTTCTATTCTGTATTCTATGCCATTCCATTCCATTCCATCTTCTTCCCAGCCCTGGCTCGTTTTTGACCATGGATTTTATTTGCCTTTTTTAGTTGCTCTCTTTTTACCAGTCATTCTTCCCTGCCTTGTTTTGGCTATCTTACACTTCACATTAATTCATCCACTAACATGATTGTCCATAATTATCATAAGTTTTCATCATACTAGCTTCTCCCTTACTCTTTAATATGGATATACATTTTAATTAGCAATTGTGCTTTATAAGGTAGCTTTCCTAAAGGTGTAAAGATTTAGTATGTAGTGCATGGGACAATAAGAACAGGAAGAGAGCTGTTTTTTTACGTAATAAACTTGCATGCTGTTTTTACTAGAGAAGTCCCCATGAAATATTACTCTTCATAATTTGAATATGTACTTTATTTTAAGTAGTTTTCCTTATCCTTTCTATTTTATCCACATATTGTTAGCCAATAATTAAATCATATCCTTTAACAAAATCATTCTTGTATTCTCTTTATTATCGTGTTCTTGTTCTTTTTAGTGGAGGAGAGGCAGATAATGCCAATATTTTGGCCTCCAGGAAATTTTTGAAAGCTCAATTTTGTCTTTTTCTTGACAGCCTTGATTAGAAGACCTCTGGGGTTAAGAACTTTAGGCTAAACGATTCCTTCAGACATCAGGAATCTGTTGCTTTTAAAATGTGAACAGGGTTGACATCAGCAGACACGATACCAAATAAAGTATCATATGCAGCTTATTCTGTGATTAATACTGAGGAACGTAGGGTTTCTTGAACTGGAAAGTTAATCAACGTTCTCTTTGCTCCTTCAAGATTGTCCATAAAAGTCTTGATAACTTTCTAAGCCATGACTAATGTGACTGTGGCTATTCATTTGTATATAGTTTGATTCAATTCTTATGCCTTAGGCAGTGCTTTTTCATCCTGTGCACATGGCAGAGGATTCCACTGTACTTTTTAATTCCACCACTATAGTATTTTTAAACAAGGCATGCTTCTTAATCACAACTGTTGACTTAAGAATCTCCTGTGCCTGGTCCTTCAATATGTCCTAGGCCATGTTAAGACCAACATGGAAGGAAGAAGCTAAAGCTGATTGCAGTTCTTATATAGCTTTTACTAGGAGAAATCAGTTGAAGAAATACAAATGAAAGATAATTTCTGAATATGATTTTTTTCAATAAAAAGTCTAGTAAAGTTTTCAAAACAACAGCTAGAGTTGGGAATAGGAAGGCAATATTCCCTTAAGCCCTACAATATTCTGAATTTTTGGAGCCTCTCCATGCAATACAGATGTTTAGTGATCAGAGGTTAAATTTATTGTAATTTTATTCAGAATAGAATTGATGTATTGATAGGCAGAAGAAAAATTGTGTATCTTCTTCCATGCCCTTTAAGCATATAATTGAAGGATTTCAATCTCAGCCAGTCGTTCCAGCAGATTTTTTTTTTTTTTGGTCATTATAACTTCATTATTTAATATTCTATATTGCTAATCTGAACCCTAGGTAGTATCCGCATTGCATTCAAATTAGAGAACTTTACACAGTATGGGATATGAAGCTCCATTTTCCAGGCACACATTCAGCCATACTTTGAATTAATTGGGATTTGTTAGGAACTTGCAGTCTAGCTAGGCAGCGTTATTCTCAGATTGCTAATATTTGTGCTAAGGTTGTTAATCCCAGATACCCTTGGAAGAATTTCATCTGTATTTGCAGAAGCCAGTCTGGTCCATTACAATTACATATATCAGACTGGCTTTTAATCTCTTTTTGCTTACATGTATTGTAATTTATTATTTTTGGGTAAAGCAGAATATTGTTGCCCCTTTTGGAAAAACAGGGTTTATTTTTTTTGTTTTCTTTTGTAATAGCTCATCTTCTGCTACAGAGTTTGTTTCAGAAAGCTGTTTCTAGTTATCAGGAGCAAACTTTTATACAAGGAGCTGGATAATTAAACTGTCTGAATCCAAGGAGATTTATTGAGTGCTTAAATTGCAGGGCAATATTCAAACTGGCTGCCAAGTAAAACTGTTAGAGAGCTGGTAATTGGATATACCATTTTAATGACAGTTTCTTGCTTTACAATCTAAAAGCAGAATTGTCTCCTTTACTTTATATGTGTCTTTGCATAATAGTTGCACCTGAAGGGGAACTTGGGGAGTGAGCAGTCATCAAACTTGAGCAAAAGACAGATTTTTCAGGTTTGTTTAATTTCAGTATAGTAATATGTTGAAATATATATATGGAAGAATGCCCCAAAAGCAGGACCATAAAGAACATTGTAAGTGTATAACTGTGAGAGATGGTTCTCACGAAAAGTGTAATAGACTTTTCTAAATTAATAGGTGTAGACTTCCCCATCTTAATAAAAAAGAATGTTTTCCCCACTTTATTGTAAAAGAAAAACTAGAGAAAAATTAGAAACTTGCTGTCTTAATATGCCTATATACAGTTTTCTAATTGGAAAATACAGTACTTGATGGAATTTTTCTATTATTACCTAAATATCTTCTTGATGCATGTTAATAATTTGTCCTTTGGGACTAGCCATTTCTAATCCAGGTTGCTAGAAGCAATGATTAAGAATAACTGTCGGGCTCTTCTGTCTCAGTCGTTCTTTGCAAATAGAGATGTAGTCACTATCCCTATGAATTACTGAGCCCAGAGGGATAAACTCTGCTTTTAGCTTCTTCTCCTCATATTTGTATTGGATGGAAATGATCTGTTGACATAATCTTTGGATGTTTTTAGTACTGAGTAGCACATTGGTTTTTACATTCCCATTCTTTCACCTTCAGCAAGAGATTCCTCACTTCCCACCAGGAGAATGGTATTATAACATATCTGAAGTTGTTGATGATCCTCACAGCAATTTTATTTCCTATTTCTTTTTCTCCTAGTTCAGAATTGCTCATGATAGATTCAGCATGTAAGTTAAATAGGTGTCATTATACAATCTTGTGGATTTGCTGGACTTCTTTTCCAGTTGTTAAGCAGTTTAGTTGCTACATCTTCTGTTCTCTGCTGCTTCCTGGTCATCAGGCATATTCTTCAATAGGTAGATGAATTGATCTGCTACAGCCATATTTTAAATGCTATGTGTTGTGATCTCGACAATCAGAAGCTTTAGCATAATCAATAAAGCAAAAGTAGATGTTTCTTTTGAATCCTTTTGCATTTTCCATCATATACTGAATGTTAGCATCGTTATCTGGGGTGTGCTTGCTCTTCTAAATCCATCTTCTTTGTCCGGCAGTTCTTTTTATTGAAATCTGAAGTACACAATATAGAGCATTATCTTATTAGTATAAGAGATAAGTGCAACTATTTGATACTTTAGGCATTTGTTTGTACTGCTCATTTTTGGTATTGGAATAGTAATTGACTTTTTCCAATCCTTTGATTATTTCTGTGTTTTTACAGCTGCTTACATGCGGCATGTATTATTTTAATTGTATCATTTAGTAAGTGTTAAAAAGTTCTGTTAGCATTTCAGCAATTCCTGGTGCTTTTTTTAGCAATATTTTTTAGGGACGATTTAACTTTAATTCCCAAAATATGTGGCCATTAATCAAAACCTTTATAAGTACTATATCATCAATTTGGGGATCATTTTTCTGCAGTTCTTGCATATATTTGCATCATTCCTTCTTTATATCTTTCTCCAATTAATCTTTGCCTTCTTTATCTTTTAGTTTTACTCATATTTGTACATTTAGTTGAGCAAAATTTTCTCTGTTTCAATGTCCAGGTTTGAGAACATTGTTAAAAATTAGTTCAGAGAGCTTAAGAGAACGTTTGTTATTTCTCAAATACTAACATTCTATGAGGCAGGAGGAATCATTTAAATTTAAATTTAAATTGTTGTCAAGTTTTCTTGAGATTTAACAGTTAAAACTTACTAATTGATACATTTAAATGATCCTGTTGCTAACTAATTTTCAACCATGTTCCCCAACCAATTTTATTAGAGATTAAACATATCAAACTGTTTCTGCCTGTTTTTCTCTGGGATCCCCAGGAAAATCTTTGAGAAGGTTTGCAAATAAGAAAAGGAACTTTTTTTGCAGGAAGAATATTCAATTGATAAAACTTTCTATGTAAACCAAGATGTCTCTATAAGGTGCATTAATTTGTCATATCCATGTGGAATTCTAAAATATTCTAAAATACTTAATGTAATTTCCTCTGATGCTAGGTTTATTAACCCGGTTTTCTACTTAATGTCCACTAGATTTATTGGATTACAATTCCCACAAATGCATCTGGTAGTGTCAGGTTAGGAATGGCTGTAATAGTTGATATATTACACACTAAAAGAAACATAAAAGAATTATTTTAAGATGATAAACTTAAGATGAGAAATGCTTTCATTAAAACGATTTGTCAGATGGTCTCACAGTACTGCTCTTCACCAGGAATAAACACTAATATCCTTAGGATAAAAGACAGCATGTTACTATGCATCACTATTATTTATTACCTGATTGCTTTATATATATTAACAATTAGAAATTATCCTTGATCTATACTTTCTAGACTAGACTTCCATCCCCTTGAAGATGCCTTCAATAAATATTGAGTTACAGTTTCCATCATCCTAAAATTAGGAATTACAGTTGAATATACCAAGAAAGGATTTGGAGATGAGTAGCATTGGCTTAAAAATAAAGTGAAATATGAAAATTAAATTAGAAGGACATAGCAATAGCTGAAGTCTTTTCAGAATTTTATATCATGGCTCCATAGCTACTTGGTGTTTCCCATGCTGCCTACATTGAGTAGACATTGAAATCCAAAAATCTGAGGGATACAAGGAGCCTGCCACTACTGAATTAAATTAAAATTAAACATACTGTGTTTCCCCGAAAATAAGACTCAACCAGAAAATAAGCCCTAGCCTGACTTTTCAGCATGCTCCTAATATATACACCAAAATAAGCCACAGTTAAGATCATCATCAGTCAGGGGGGCGGGGCAAGCACCAGAGGTGTGAGGGCATGGAGGCCGACAATGTCCAGCAGCAGCTGGAGCCCATGCGCTACAGGTAAATTGATTACCTGTCCAAGCAGCAGACAGAGGGGTGAGGGGAGGCAGGCGATCTGGACATGCCGTGTGGGCCGTGGGAAAGCCAAGAATTGGTGGGCTCAAGCGGCCGGCTGGCCATAGGAGGCTTGTCTTTGCCCGGCGGCACCAGCAGCAGATGGAGGTAGAGGCATGGGGTGGGGGGAAAGGCAGGCGATCTGGATGCAACGTGCAGGCCTCACAGTTGTTAAGTGAATTTTAACCCATTTTACAACCTTTCTTGCCATAGTTAAGTTAGTAACACAGTTGTTAAGAGAATCTGGCTTCCCCATTAACTTTGCTTGTCAGAAGGTTGCAAAAGATTGTTGGAACACAGCAACAATCACATGACCGTGGGGGTGCTGAAATGGTCATAAGTGTGAAAAACAGTCATAAGTCACTTTTTCCAGTGCCATTGTAACTTTGAATAGTCACTATATGAACTGTTAAAAGTCAAGGATTACTGTACATATGCTATCTAACTTTCTGTCTATGAAGTGATCTATGAAGGATTACTGTACATATGCTATCTAACTTTCTGTCTATGAAGTGGTCTGTTATTTCATAGGTCTTTTGAAATTTTGACATTTACAGTGACATCTTATATATTATAAATTTATACATTAAATTATACATTATATTTATATATTATATTTATAATTATACATTATAAATTTATTTAGATTTATTAGATTTTTATTCCATCTTTATTATTTGTAAATAACTCAAGGCAGCAAACATAGATAAAACTCCTTCCTCCTCCTACTTTCCCCATAACAATTTTATGAGGCGGATTGGACTGAAAGAGATGGTGACTGGCCCAGAGTCATCCAGCTGGCTTTTATTCCTAAAGTAGATCTAGAACTCATAATCTCCTGGTTTCCAGGCCAGCACTTAACACTATACCAAACCAGCCCTTTAATTTGTTCAGTCTATTGTTCTTATATTGGTTTGGAAACACTAATGTGTTTAGGCTTTCTACGTTAGTAGCTTTAAGCAGATAATGTTATTTTATTCAGTTGCTGTGTTAGCCAGATCCTACTAAAATTTTATATTGCGTTACATATTTAAATGTTTTGGATTTTCAGGCACTTGCAGACCAATTTGAAGAGAAGAAAACATCAGTTTGTGAACGTATGAAGATATTTTACAGTTGCCAGGTTCCTCCACACTGGGCCATTCAGGTATAAAATAACTGATTTGTAGATGTCATTTTTATGAAGCATGAAACCTGAGATGCTAAAGTGGGAAAATTTCTCCTGTTGTATTTTTATATGAAGTACTATAACAAATCTATTTACCTTGCTTATTATATAAAAAATAGTAGGCTTTATATTAATATGGTGCATTCCAGCTGGCAGTGTTTTTAAACTGTGCATTAACCACATTACCAAATGTCACCACACCAATTATAATTATAATTGCTCAAAATCTTGGTCAGTTGTCAAGAGATTGGCCAAGAGAATTCCTTGAAATTTGACCGTAATTTTTCCAACACATTTGTCTGTCTTTGACGCAGGAGAAACCATTTTTGCATTCTTTTTGCTTTAAAATCCTTCAGAAATCTTTCCAGTTCGCAAAACCCAGTGTGGTTTTCACTTTGATTTTTTTTCCTCCAAGCCAAACCAATTTTCTGAGCTCTGTTGGTGATCTATTATTGACAATGGTTGAAGTGCTGTCTTAAGTAGCACAGTCCTTGCTTTTATTTCTCTTATACTTACCCTCAAAACTGTTACATATAAATCTCAGATATGAATTGCTGCTGTGAAGGACCATGTCTTCTCATGCTGACCTTGGTAAGCAGGCTCTTCTCTGTCTCTTCTTGTAGCCAGAAGCCCAAAGTGGGAAAAACAAAACAAACAAAAAAACACAGAAAAGGACTAGCAAAATCTTGTCAGCAGCATCCATTAGGACTTTTGGCTGCGATCCAATTATCTTACTCATCTTGGTGTGTCTTTTGTCTCCAGAAATCCTGTCTTGTCAGTCTGCTTGTTTCCTACTTGTCAGCCCATAGTTTTTCCTTGATCTTGGGTAAATCTTGGGTAAATCCTAGATCAACTATATTGTTTGTAGATGTCATTCATGTACTAAAAGAGAGCAGCTGAAAATAATGTTAAAGTAAAAATGGTCAGCTTGCTAAAATGCATTTATATAATTTATATTTGTCTCTTCTTCATCTAGAATCTGCTCATCTGCAAGTCTTTACCTAGATGGGTGAAGCTAAAAGCTTTGGAAACTGTTTAGAAAATTATTCAGTCACAATTCACTTTAGTTATCTAAATCCCTATCCCACCCTCAAAAGTGCACAAAATCATTCTTGGCCTAGCCTGTTTTAGAATTTAGTCCTGGATGGGTAGCTCAGAGCTAGCATGGTCCTCAAACAGATGGAGATTTGCAATCTGGCAATAGAGGCTAGAATATAGTGTTGCTATAAATAAACTACAATTAGAGTTGTCAGTGATTTTTTGGGGGCATTTACCTTGAAATGTGGCCCCTTTCTCTTTGGAAAACAATTCATTTGTTGTTGTTTTATGGGCCTGGATAAAATGTTAATTTCTCCTCAAACGTTTAATACATCTTAAAATCTCTGAGCTATGTCCAGTTGAGCTATCTATTTTTGGTATAGATTTTTTTCTCCACTATTTCCAGAACAGATTTTGTGCCTGTGTGCATGCGCACACACACAGTGTATGTTGGGGTAGGGGTGAAGGTTGCGATGAAGTCATAGCAGATGGCAGCTCCTAATCAAATTTGGCTGATTTCAAAAAAGCTAATCACGCTTGAATCTGGGTAATATGTCATGAGAGACTGAGATGAAACCTCCAAGCTTGAAGCTAGGATGGAAACTTGAAAAAAACATCCTATAAGAAGACAGTGTCCAATCACTGCTGCACCATTTCCAAACAACAATGTCCATTTAGTCACCAACTGAGGGAAAGGGCTAGCAAAGTTGGGGCAAGGCAGGTTAAATTTTATACCCTGTACTATATAAAGTCCCCAAAAGGTCACCAAAAAGAAGAAATGTTCATTTTAAAACTGAAGTATTTATCAAGCAAGTAAAATTAAACAGTTTAATTTCATTGTATGCAGTCATCTCCCAGGAGAAAAATTGAGAAGGAGAGAAATTAGTCTTGGGGTGGGTGGGTGTTTGTGTGGGTGTGTAATTCTTCAAGATAATCTGAGCTTTGAGAGTGAGAGAAAGGGAAGAAGACATTGCAGGATAATGTAGAAAAAGACAGAAGTGAACCATTGCCATGAGAGCCTAATTTTATGGACTCAACATTTTTGTTGAAAAATGTGAATTCCAGCTGGCCTGGCAGTTTCAAAGTTGTTTGCTTTCCAGGTATTTATTCCAGGTATAAGCTAAACATTCATTGAAGACATTGAAAACATTCATTCTTTATTATTTTATTACATATTGCCCAACATCGTTTCAAACAGTGTTTCACTACACATCAGAATTTGTAGTTTTTTTGAGTTTGCAGATGTCATAAAAAAGTTAGATCTAATTTTTTCACAGTAAATAATATAGCATAATTGCATAGACTATGAATACTGAGGCAAATATGCTAATTTGAATCATACTAATTTGCATTTTCTAATTTAGAAGTTTCCAGATTTCTGGAAAGATTCCAAATTTTGTTTTTGTGTTCTGTCTGGTTTTTTTGGAGAGAGAAAAAGTCTTAAGAATGAATAAACCTTAGAGGTGCAAGGGCAGGCTCAGAAAGTGGAATCAAAGCCCCATAGAGAGAGTTGTAAGAGGGAAAAGAAACATATAAGGATTCTGAGAGAAAAGGATCTTTATAGGCCAATGTGCACTTTTTTGTTCCCTACTTGTGAATGGAGGACAATTCTCCTACGGGTTCTATGGGTACTAAATAACCCATAGTTCAACAAAACACAGGTAATGTCAAATACTTTGGAGAGGTAGGCCTTGAAACTTCAGGCTTCTCATGGCCACTGAATCAGTAATGAAATGAGATTATGGTAAAAGATGAAAGTTGATTAAGTTGGAATGGAAAGATTTGGCATTTAAAAAGCATTTAAGACTCTGGGGAGATTCTTAAGATGCTTCAGTACTAATCTGTTTCAAATAACTAGAGGTTGCTGTGGGAAAACTTGGCAACAGTTTTCCCACAGAGATGAACTCAAGTGTACAGTATACAGCAGCTAGATCAATTTCAGCTATATTCGGTTGTGGATTGAGGTGTCCAAGTCTGTCAAGCTTTGGAGTAGCACTGAAGCTAGCCTGCACATAGTCATAACTGGTGAAATTTGTCTCTTGCAGCATTTTGCCCAGAATGGGTGAGAGATTGTAGGAAGGTGATGTCATTTTATTTTGTTTACTTATTTGTTAATGCGTATCTCACCATGGGGCTACTCTTGGCAGTTTACAGCAATGAAAAGGAAGATATGAAAGGAGCGTAAACAAAACCAAAGTACAATAATAGAACAGTAAAATAAACTATGGAAAAGAAAACAACAAGAAAACAGCAATAGGATAAGAAAAAGATGGAAGGGTGGAGAGCAGAGAGCAAGGAGGGGCAGGGGGAGTCTGCCATCAATCCAGCAGCCACCTTCTGCATGGAATTACCCAATTGGGTCCCCATTTGAATGACATTGCTGAGAGGCGGGCTTATCAGGCAGCTCAAATGGTAGATATTTTTCATTCTCATCATGCCTCATGCCAGCAATGAGCAATTGGATAAATTAGCCTATCTAATTATATTGGCTCTATCAACTCAGTATATCTGAAGTACATCTGTTAGGGGAAGACAGATGTAAATCTTTACTAGTTATTAGGTTTCTTTAAGAGCATATTTTGTAATTGTTAAAACAAAATGCACCATGAGCCCATATCCTATCTGCTCTTTTGCTTTAATTTGCCTGTCTCTTAATCAGATTTCCTTTGCTTTTTAAGGCTGGATATGGAAGTGGAGTAACTACTACATAAACTTGGAATTAATCCCCTCGAATGTGTTGTCCAGGATTTAATTTCAATTGTTTCATTAACTGATAGCTGGTTTATGTACACGAATTGGCCAGTCTTTCTTCCCTCTGTCCCCAGTTAGCCTTCTTAATTGTCTTTGGATTGTATCACAGAATGTCAGTGTGACCCAGACTCTAGACAGATAAAGTCAATATTGGCCAGCATCAATGGGCCTTATTGTTGGTTATTTGTGTGCATATCCTGATTTCTTCTTTCTGTTCCAGTACCTGGAAATGGAGAAAGAGCCATTACTTCCATGTTTAGGGTAATTTTGAATGAGTAAAGTTTTTAAAATCCACAGCCAATTTTACTAATTTTTACAAGTGAAAAATTAATAGACTTTTCTAGATTTGAAAGAAAGAAAGAAAGAAAGAAAGAAAGAAAGAAAGAAAGAAAGAAAGAAAGAAAGAAAGAAAGAGAAAGCTTTCCATACCTTTGGGAAATGTCTTGAGCATTTTGAATTATTTTATAATCTAAATTCATGTAAGCACTGCTAAATGTTGCTCTAAAGAAAAATGCGTAACTGAATTTTTCAATATTCTACTTTGAAGCGTCAACTTGCAAGCTTACTCGTTGACCTTGGATGTACCACTTCAGCTCTGCAGCTCTTCAAAATGCTTGAAATGTGGGAAGATGCTGTTATCTGTTATGAAAGAGCAGGCCAGCATGGGAAGGTAGAGTACTTCTACTCTGATTACTGTTTTTATGTTTTTAACATGCTGTACCTTTTGTACATATATGTCTTTCTTCCCATCAACGTCTACCACTTCAAAACTATTTAAAGTTGTATATGTTACTTACACTAAAAATAACGCAGTAGCATTTAAGACAAAAAAGATGATCAAAGAAAATGAAGGGGGGGACAGAGAAATGAGGACAGGTATTTTTAAATTACATCTCTTGATTTTGAGGGAACCAAAACTGAATGTAGCTACATGTTTACATTAGTCTTCAAGAAAAAAAGTATAATTAACTTGGTGATAAGTAGGATTCCATGGGGTGAGACATTTTTGAGAAAATGAGCAGAAATTGGGTGGGAGTTCCTAAAAAAAGGAGACACTAACAGCAAAGGGGGGCTGGGAGCAAATGAAGCTAATGTGGCTTCATAAAAAAAAACACACACACAACAGAGTCTTGAAGATCAGAAAGGATGTATACAGATGATGAAAAAGGGGAGATGTTGTCGAGGAAAATTGTGGAAGGGGTAGATCGGGTATTAGAAATTTGCTCAGGTATGTAAGAACAAAACTGCTTTCTTCAAATATATTTCAATATAAGAAAAAGAAGCAAAGGAAATAACATCTGCTCAGTGAACATTTGAAAATGGCAATAAATTTGAAAATGGCAATAAATTCCAGAGAAAAAGCATTCAAATCCTATTTTTGCTCCATCTCAAACAAATTTAAGAGCAGGTTGGAGAAGCAGGATCCTAATATTAGCTTGATAGAAACATAGTCAGGGTTCGTATCTCCAGGAAAAGGGGGTTTGCCTCCTACCTTACTGAAAAAGCTTACTAATGGTTTTGCCAAACTTCTACTCACTGTCTTTGAAAAATCCTAGATAATGAGGTACCAGATGGCTAGAGAAGGAATAATGTTTCTCCTCCTTTATGTGAGAGAAAAAAAGGAGGATCTGGGAAGCTTCAATCCAAGGCTGAGCAAAGTATTTAAAAGGGGAACTCCACAATTAATGCCAGGATGAGCAAAGCACTCCTTCACACAACATTAAAGGCACTATGTTGTTTGGAAGGCCAACATGGTGCCTTTGAAGGCTGTGCCTTTGTGTGTCTGTGCATGTGCTTCATTTCTCTCATGGGCCCCATGAAATATTCTTTTTTGCATTGAACAGCCTCCACCTTAAAATACTGTGTCTAGTTCTGAACACCAGTCTTTAAAAAAAATTCAGATGGATACTAAAAAAGACAACTTAGAGAATCAGGACATAGGAAACTAAGTTTTAAAAGACAATTTGGAAGAATTCAGAAAAGACACTGGAGGGGATAATATTATAGCCCATTTCAAATTTTGGGGCAGGGAAGGGACTCCCACAGAATAAAGGCAAGGCCTGTCTTCTGTTGTTCCAGAACACAGAACAGAGAATAGGTCATGGGAAAATAGGTTCTGGGTGAATAGCAGGTATAGCTTCCTAATGCAGAAGCAGTTCAAGGGACGTAACAGATTTTTCTTCGTTCAGAAGTATAGAGCTGTCTCTCAGGGTTGCTTTAAATCAAAATGTAGCACTGAACAAGGGACGGCTCATTTAATTGGCCCTATCCAGTTCTGTGATTCTGTGGGTCAAGACAAAGAAATGGAGAACTAAGAGAGAAGAGAGAGCTACATAAATATTCTGATATGATTCCTTAAAGTAATTTGATGGATTTGGGGTGTGTGTATGTAAATCATTTCCAGATTGGTTTGCAGGTGTCATCTTGTTATTTTTCTCTGATATTATCCCTTGTTTTCCACTTAATTCTGTACTTTTGTCCTAGTTATCTTTGATAATCGGTGTTCCCTTAGCAATCTGTATGTTTTGATAGGATATCACATGTTAGACCAATATTCAGAATTAGATGGTTAATGACCCACTGTGATGCAGTGGTTAGAATGCAGTACTGCAGGCTACTTCTGCTGACTGACTGTTGCCAGCAGTTTCGTAGTTCGATTCTTACTGGCTCAAGGTTGATTCAGCCTTCCATCCTTCCGAGGTGGGTAAAATGAGGAGCCAGATTGTTGTTGGGGGCAATATGCTGACTGTGTAAACGGCTTAGAGAGGACTGTAAAGCTCTGTGAAGCAGTATATAAGTCTAAGTGCTATTGCTATTAATTCTAGCCTCATGATAATTTCAATTTCTCACCAACATTGAATTATATTACTGCCATTGTCAAGATATGAGAAGAAGGCTGGCACTGATATTAATCCATAGGAACCTCAGTTATGCTATATTTTTAAAAGTGCCTAGAGAGTTAATATTTTAAACAGTGTTTTTATTGCACAGCTCTAAACCTCATAGGTTTTTTAACAAAATCACTGCAAGAATTAGAAGCTCGAGATATATATTTGCAGTATTTCCAAGTTTCTTATAGAAAGGAACGCTGAAATGAAAAAGGCAGTCTGGATATGAAAAATGCTCCTGTCCAATTGCTCCCAATGGACTGCTGATTCAAATTCCATTTCTAAACAGTGCTATGGTTGGAAGGCGTACCATAGAACCATACGTGCTCCATGTTGTCCCTGGTATTTGATCAGAGTTAGACCATGCTGTGGCTGCCACAGTAATCTCAAAACCACTTCGTTTAGTGTGGGCTGCCAGACACAGCACTTCCTCCAGCATCTTTTACCAACCTTCTAGACTGTGCTGGGTGAGAAATTAATAAATATTTAGGATGTAACATCCTGACTGTTGCAGACCACCAAAACAAGAAACCCAAATTCTGTGATGTTTAAAACATTACAGAAAAATACACCCCATCCCAACAATCCCCAAATGCAGGAACTGTAGATTCTTTGGAAACCAGACAGGATGTCATGGGCAGCCATCCAATGTCATCTATATCCACCCAATTTGCTTTCCAAACAACTGGGTATGTGGAGCAACAAAGTGTGCATTTTCGTACTTCAGACATCGGGTGATTCTTGTTGGTTTTAAGAACATACTTATTGACAGCCATAAAAGTCTGCCTAACATACTGTAGCCATTATTTGCAATTCCTAAGTATGGTAATTACAAACCAAAGAATCCATGTCAATGCAAAATTATGGTGTTCTTTCATCAAAAATTTTGTGAAAGGGTTAAAATGCCAACACTGAAATCCTGTCAACATGAAGGCCATGAATTCTTTTTATTTGGATAAATTCAATATGTACTGCTTAGAAATAGACGTGGAGGCAGTGGCAGCTGGATGAGACTATTGATGGCCTGATGATTCTATAGTCCCATGTCTGGTTTGACTCATACACACATACACCACGAGGGCTTGAAGTCTTTATTGAGGCTTCACCAGCCTTGGATAGTATTCCCCAGGATTCACCCCATGCAGGAATCAGCGTAAAAACCAATGAGTCCAATCCTCAAGTCTGAGAACACAGAGCAAATCCTTAAAGTCACCCACCAGGTTCAGAGTCTCAAGCCAAGTCCACGGTCTGAGCACAAATTACGGAACCAAAGTCCAAGTTTGAGAAGCAAAATCCAAAGTCCAGTCACAGGGACAAGGCTTAATTCCAAAGGCAAGAGGCACGATTGCATTTCAGACACATGGCAAGAAATGGATGAATTGTTTCCAGCATCACTTTGCTCCGCATGCTGGGCTAAAATAGCCACCGGCCAGTGGAGCTCATTAGGAGGAATAAGGCTGCCTCCCTGTGAGTAGCCTTGCTGACCTCCATTGCATCTCTGTCCTCTCAATTCTGCATACCCTTGGATCCGGTGGGGAAGGCAGTTCCTCCTCATTCCTGCTGAATGGCTGCAGCTGAGCCCCTTCTCCGCTCTTTGCTTCTGGTTGGTCTTCCAAGCCTCTTGGATGTAACTCTGCTCTACCCTCTCTGTATCAGCTAGACGCTCATCTGATCGTCCTCCAGCCTTTCTGAGGTTCCTGGCCTCTCCTCCTCCTCTTGCCTGACCCTACTTGATTCAGAATCCAGATGCTCCTCGGTGCCCTGGTCCAAAGTTCCTAAAGCCAGCTCTTCCTCCTTGTCCAAGCCAGCTTCTGGGGCATCCATTACACCTCAGCCCTGGCACTGCCAGGACAAGAGCTGCTATGCAGGGTATCCAAAAGGCATAGATAAGGTGAGATAGGCATGTGGACGCTGTTGCAGAGCCTTGTATTCATAATGTCTGTGGAGATTCTCAGTCATCCAGGTCATGGTTGTCCCTTTTTCAAGAGGCAACTGGACTTCCTGGTTTTTCTTCGAAGACGTTTCGCTTCTCATCCAAGAAGTGTTTTCAGCTATCTTAAACTAATATTCTCAAGAAAAAAATAATAATGGCAAACTGCTAAGCAGTTGTTAAATTCATTTAAGTATTCTCACAACAGTTATTTAACTGATTGACTTGATTTATATTCTGTCACAGCCAAAAAGACACACAGCAATTGATATATATCAATAAGAATAGAGTAAATCGTTCATGGTAAAAAAAAAAGCAGTCAAAAGCAACACAATAATCAGTCAGTCTAATGATGTCAATCCCTTCCCCCAAAGGCACTGAAGCAATTCTGTTTTTAATACCCTGTTTCCCCCAAAATAAAACATCTCCTGATAATAAGGGCTTTTAAGCGCATGGAGCTTATTTCAGGGTTCAAAAAAATATAAGACAGGGTCTTATTTTCAGAGAAACATGGTAGGTTTACAAATCCAACACATAGGAGGCAAACTGAATTTCTGAATTTCTAGAGATGCTGTTCCAAAACATAGGTGCATCCATATATGCCTATAAGCTCCTTACCCTACAGAAGTATGAGGGGAGAATGGGGTATCATAAGTAGGTTCCCAAAGTATGTCTAGGTTGGACAAATCAGAACTTGGGGGGAGATGTTCCAGCAAGTATTCTAGTACCAAGCTTTGTGGGGCTTTAAAGGTGGCCTTCTTGATTCTAAGTTACAAGCAGCATCAGGGAAGAGAGGAGGGTGGCAAACTGAGGGAGATGAGTGAGAAGCTGCTGAATTAGTGCCATCCAAAATGTAAATGTATATAGGAAGAATTATATTTTCCCAAGTGCTTAGTTACCTTCTTTCATATCATTCAACAAGTCAAGCTCAGCAAGGTTTTGAGCCACTTGAGAATGTGTTCCTGTGTTGTATTGAACAAATATATTACCAAAGAATGATTATTTCTCTTGCCAAATAATCTTGTAAATTTCCTCTTCTTTCTGGTTGGGCTCACTCTGGCTTTCATCACCTTCTGCTTGGCGATGCCAAGACAAAGGATGACATTTTCTTAATCCCTGTTAGCTGTACCACTGAACTATGTCCTATTTTCTTTCCTTTGGAATTGGTAATGAATTTACAGAGCTTTAGTTCCAGGTCAGCTTTGAAAATGTAGTTTTGTGAACCTGAACATAAAACGTTATTACTGTGTTGGCTGGCTCTTCTAAAATACCCTGACCTAAATTTGAGAGTGTTTTGCAAAGATGGGATAAAGAAGCAGCTCCCAGTGTACTTTTTACCTCTGAAATGTTTATTTACAGTGCAGACTATGGCTCTGAAGCAGAAGAGAAAACAAGAAAAAAAAGAGTATCTGTAGGTTTTTAAATTCTTCACAGTACTAGCATGCTGGGGTTTGTTTCTTTCTTTCTGATTTGCAAAGCTTAATAATACTTCCTGACAAGTAAGTCTGGTGCATATTGTGCAGTTTTCATCTTTAATAATCCTCCTGTTTATTTTGTAAGCTTTGCATCCCATTTTCTGCTTGTTTTTCTTCCATAGTTGTCTTAGTTGTAAAATGTATTTTAGGGCTAGCACAGTGGTCCCCAACCCCCGGTCCGCGGACCGGTGCCGGGCCGTGGAGTACCTGGCACCGGGCCGCGCAGCGGCCGGGGGACATGAACGCTGCAGCGCAAAGGCTCCTGGGCCGTGCGCAAAAGCTCCTGGGCCGTGCGCAATGGGCCGTGCGCAAAAGCTCCTGGGCCGTGCCCCCACCCCTGCGCGCGCTCAGCGGGCCGCGGCGATAAAAAGGTTGGGGACCACTGGGCTAGCACATTTCTGCAACCATCTTATTAAGGGACAATATAACAAAGATAGAGTCTAACAGTTACAGATACTGTTATGAATTCAAAGCTAGTACGAAGTACTGTTGATAGCTGCTAAGGGAGAGGAAGTCATGTTTCTGAAGCTGCTGCCCCAATTCCTCCTAGTAAGACTCTTTTATTTGTAACATCAATTCAGTGCTTGGTTAGATTTTCAGTAGTGACTTGAAAGTGGAACGATTACTAAACAGTGTCAGCAACCTTAAATGGATGCTAGGAAGGGTAAGATAAGCAGTGTCTTAGGCATTTCCAGCCTAAGAGCTTGCAGAAAATTGAAATAAATTACATTTGTGGCTAACGGTAGAATGCTAGCAGTGCCTGGATTCTAGGTTCCTTCTTCCATTTCTTCTTCCATTCCCTGTTTTCTTTTTCTCTCCATAGGCAGAAGAAATTTTAAGACAGGAGCTAGAGAAGAAAGAGACAGTAGGATTATACTGCCTGCTTGGAGATGTTCTTAAAGACCATTCATATTATGACAAAGCTTGGGAACTGTCCAATCACCGCAGTGCCAGGGCTCAGCGCTCAAAGGGCCTCCTTTACCTTCGCAACCGGAATTTCAGAGAATGCATAGAGTGCTTTGAGCATTCTGTGAAGATTAACCCAATGCAGGTAAGCAACTTCAGCTCCTTAAAACAATTTGTAACTTGGTTTTGTAAATACTCTGCCTGATAACTGAAGTTCCATAACACAGAATTTCTTTGGTTCATGGAGATCAGGTGTCATACATTTTGTAAAGAAAAAAAAAAGCATAAGTGCCAGGGTCATCGTCCCCTTTTCAGTAGATAACATCCTGAAAATTTTTTGAACTTTAATGAAAAAATTAAATTTTGATGCTGTCCCTTCAGTTCTGAACTCAAAGCTTTCAGTTCAAAGTTTGCCGTTCTCTTGCACTGTAGCAGCTGAATATCTTGTTCTCAGCCTTTATTTCCTCAGTGTCCCCTGAGGGACCATTTAGGAAAGGGCAGCCTCTAGTTCTTCCTTCTTCCCTGTACGTTCTTGAGGGTGAGAGACAGGTGTGCCTTGACAGCATTTTAAGACTGAAAATACAGAAAAGTATGTTGAGAATACAGCTGCCATTTGCCTTTGTGGGCAGATGTTCTGAGCGGGGGAGGCAAGGAATGTTGCAAGTCTTGTTCCCTAAGGAGATACATCTGGCGGGACCCAGAAAAAAGGGTTTTCTCCATGGTGGCTCCCTCCCTCTGGAACATCATCCCTCCGGAAATTAGACAGCCCCCCCCCCCTCTGACACCCTTTTGGAAGGCTGTGGTTCTGCCAGTGGGCCTGGGGAATGCAGAGTGGGATGGAGCCCATTAAATGGCTGGTGTGTAGGTTGTTGCCAGGGTGAGGGGATTGGTGGGTTATTATTTTATTTTATTTTAAATTGTGTTTTTATGTCCTGTAAATCTCTTTGAGTCTCCGTGAGTGAGTAGGCAGCAGTATAAACAAACAAACAAGCAAGCAAGCAAGCTGTTAATGCCATCTTCTTAAAGTAGCTCCCAGTCTGAAAGGCAGGAACAGGATTCTTGGGAGAAAGCTTTAATTAATGATTCTATCTTTATGAGGATCTTAGTATTAAGCCAATTTTTTCACAAACACATTAAGATGCTTGCTTTGGGAAGAGGATTTTATTGGAAATAAAATATCATGCTGGCTTCAGGGAAATTAATAAAATTATAATAAAATTATAGTACTATAATATAATATTAATAAAAATATAAATTATAAAAATAATATAATTATAAAATTATAATAAAATAAAATTAATAAAATAAAATAGATTCAGGGAAACAGCTTCCTATCAGAACCCTTTCTCTAAAAGTTGTGGTTATGAAAGGCCTCTGGTTTTTCACAGCTCTTGAGTGATTTACCAGATTCCATTCCATAATTGCCTCCGGAAGTTATGGCTTCTCTCACTCTGATATTCTTCTGCAATTTTCTCTCTGTTGGCCCTCTCTAAGGCCTCCTTCTGAAATGTGCAAAGATAACTTAAACACATTTCCTGCAGTTCTGTGGCATACCCTTTTTATCATGGGAAAAATGCCCATATTTCTATAAAATTACTCTAATCCTGCTGCTTCTAAGAAGATAGAAAGTGCAAAAAAAAAGAAAAGCATTGTCCTTTAATCTGGATTCCATTTCCAAATAAAACAGCCTGAGAAAAGTCAGTTGTCTGTTTCATAATTAAGGTGATTGAAGCAAGCTCCCTTCTGAGATCAGTTCAGGAGTAAAAAAAAGTGGCATAAATCTAGGAACTAGAACCACTTCAAGTCCTATATTATACAATGGGATAAAACCTACAAACGTTACTGCATTACAGTTTACATCAGTGCTATGTGGCATGGCTAGTAATCTGGGATGATGCACTCCATATATGACCTAGTCCTTTAAAAAGAACAGTTAGGTGGTTCTATGGAGTGATTAAATCATCAATGATACCTGTACCTATACTATATGCACACATACACACACACACATTCCCCCCCCCCCTCTCTCTTAAATTTTCAGTGGTATAATTTCGTACATCTCAAGAAAGTTATTTTCAGATTCACATTACTATATGAAAAGATAAGGGTGCATAACCTAGGGCCGTGATGGCAAACCTATGGCACGCGTGCCACAGGTGGCACGCGGAGCCATATCTGTGGGCACACGAGCGTTGCCCTAGCTAGCTTCAGCGCACATGCGTGTGCCAGCCAGCTGATTTTCGGGCCCTCCAGGCCCACTGGATCCAGAGGCTTTCTAGGAGCCTAGGGCCTTCCAGTCCCACAGAAGTTGGCAAATAGGCCATTTCCTGCCTCCGGAGGGCCTCTGGGGGGATGGGGAAGGCTGTTTTTGCCCTCCCCAGTCTCCTAGAAAGCCTCTGGAGCCTGGGGAGGGCTAAAAATGGGTCCACTGGGCCCACCATGCCATCGCGTGCCAAAAGCAAGGGGAGCACAGGGGGGGCACGCATGTGCGGGAGGGGAGGCACATTGAATTATGGGTGTGGGCACGCACGCGTGTGACCCCCCCTGGTGCTGCCCCCACTTTTGGCACGTGACAACAAAAAGGTTAGCCATCATTGCCCTAGGGCATCAGTCCAACTCCATGATAATTACCAAGAATTATTTAAGATTTCAATGTTTAATTTCTTGATGTGAAAAGATGCAGTGTGGAGATTATAAGAAGCAATGACTTAAAAAGCTGACATAGCCAATAGGAAGATGAAAAGAGGGATGGAGAGGGAACCAGCTAACACACACTTGTTTCATCGCTTAAATGTGAAGATTTATTGCAGAGAGTAGACTGGAAATTTCTGGTTTATTTCTGTATGATTTCCAATAGATAGTACCATAAAGGGTCCTTTTAAAAATTCTAAATAGCTTCACAATAATGACAAGATAACATCACTTTGTTCTAAATTAAATTGCTGAAGAAAAATATAATGCTTTCCCTAAAAGTGTTCGTGCCATTGAAGTTCTGGTTTTTTAGAGCAAACCTCTGGAATCAGAGTACTTTTAATTTTAAATAAATATTTTTGCATTTGACTCAAGAATCATCTAGATATTCTAGAAAAAGAACGAAGTAGATCCAACTAACCTGAAACCTGCCTTTTCCTAGTTTATTAGACCCCAGTTGTTATATCTGAACTAGGCCATTCTGCATATAAAATGTTGGGCTTTTTATTATGTAACTTGAAATAGAATATATATGTAATGTTCCCTTTTGGGGAACCCAACTCTGCACCTAGAAATTAATGCTTCAAATAGGGAGTTTTTGTCCAATGGGGAAATCCATATCAAGGAATAAGGAAGTGCAGGGGCTGTCTTTTTATTGGACCTATTTGTGCCCAAGTATGTGCACAAATTTAAAAAAAATTGGATAGTTAGTGAGACTCCAGATTCCTTTGAAGTTACAAAATTAAATGTCCTCAATTTGTTTATATCTGATTTACAGGTTCCATTTTATTTCCAAACATGCTATGATATCATATACATTATACATGATATATATAAATTTTAGTAGAGATTATAACAAAGATAAAATATAAACATGAAAGTATATAAATTAAGAAAAATAAAAAATACAGGGACTGTTTGAATTTGTGTTTACAGAAAAGCAAGGTAATGTCTCCTTGAATCATGGTCAACCCCTGGTGACTTCATGGATAATTCCAAGCAATTTTCTTGGTAGTGTAGGGCCTCTTTTGGCATATTTTGTCACTTCTTACTCTAGCCTTAGTATTGCTTGAATAGTTGCCCATTCAAGAATTAACCAGGTTCAATTGTCAAGACTTTGCACCAAGTATAGCATTAAACTTTGTGGCTCCTCCTCATTCCAAATTAGGCACAACAAAGTAAGATAAGTAGGTTTATTTTAGAGAATTACAGAAATTCTCCTTTGAAAAGCATCTGGAATCCTGCCTGCTGTGTATATTGGCCCCCAGGTTTAAATGCTAGTCACCTTTCTCCCACCTGTTTGTTTCAACAGTTATGTAGCTGCTGATTTCCTTGTAGGTTTGAATAGTTATATAGCTACTGACTTGTCTTGAAGGTTTATGCCATCCATCCATCCCTTACTTACAAATAAATGACTTTGTCATGAAAATTATAGAATTCCTCCTCCTCAGCTTTTGTCCTTTTAGCTTGAGAGCCCAGACAATATTAGCCTGATCTTGCTTGTATAAACATTTGCTATTGGTTATGAAGAGAAAATAAACCTAAACTCCTAGAGCCAGCTGAAGTTTATCTAATCATTGTGGTGCTCTTAAGTTTCAGTATCTTTTCATCAGGGTAATGATCTGGGAGAAGAGAACAGGAAAGAGATCCAGTGCCCTCTTTAGAACATGTCCCTGCTTGGTTTATGTCAAAATTTAGTTGCCACTGTTATCCTACAGCAGTCTATCTCAATCTTGGCAGCATGGGGAATTCTGGGAGTTGACTTTAAGGTGGTTGAGAAATACCGTCCTATAGTTTCTCAATCCTCCCCATTTCACTTCCATAATTCTCAGTCAATATGGTTCTAGCTATCTTGTAGTCTGTGCATGAGGCAGGGAGATGTTAAGTTGAAAAATGCTTCTTTGATCCATTTCGTTTTATTTTTCTTTCAGTTGGGGGTGTGGTTTTCCTTAGGCTGTGCCTATTTAGCATTGGAAGACTATGAAGGTGCTTCCCGGGCTTTTCAGCGCTGTGTGATGTTGGAACCTGATGTAAGTAAATGAAGGAAAAGCAGCACTCGGGTGTGCTTTGATTAAATAGCCTTTTGTTATCATTTCCTACATTTTATGGAATATATAAAGTTAGTGGATCTCTCTATGAGTTTATGTTTGAGAGCCAGAAAAAGGTTCATTGCAGAAAAAAAAGCAGCAGTTAACAACCATGGAGAAATTGTTATAGAGATAGTCCTCAACTTGCATCCATTCGTTTAGTGACCATTTGAAGTTACAATGGCAGTGAAAATAGTGACTTATGACCATTTTTCACACTTACAATCATTGCAGCATCCCTGCGCTCACTTCAGATGCTTGGCAATTGGCTCACGTTTATGATGTTTGTAGCCTCCTGGGGTCAAGTTATTTACATTTTGTAATTTTCTGACCAACAGAGTCAGTGGGGAAGCCAGATTCACTTAACAAGTGTTACTAACTGAACAACTGCAGTGATTCACTTAACAGATGTAGCAACAAAGGTTGTAAAATCAGACAAAACTCACTTTGGGGCTCAGTTGTGGTCATAAGTCAAGGACTATCTGTAGAGATCAGTTGAGTTCTTCAGGTTTCACTGTACCAACCCAACTACATAGTGCATATATGTTACAGAATGTATTACATGTGCCCTAATTATGTGCAGATGCATTGTATATGCATGCACAACATACATTACAATGCACCAGTTATACACATACACCTATGTAATGGACAAATTTAAAAGTGCCAGATGCTCAAAGGGTAGCCAAAACTAAAACTCCGTGTTCTCATATGGGATTTTGTCCATTAAAACTGAAAAACATACTTAAAAATTCCTAACTTTTTATTCTTATATTTTGGTGTCTATGGTGTTCTAGAAATTCCATGATGGTGCTCACTATTTGAAAGCTTGCTCCTCCTTGGTTTTAAGTAACTTTTTTTCTTTCTAAATAAGAAATACGATATTGCACCATAAGTCCTAGGTAATATTCTCCCCCTCCCCCCACCTCATTTTGCCAGGTATCAGTTGTAAAAAGACTTCCCAAAATCATTATTTGAGAAACAATGATAAAATATTCTGTGGCCACATTGCCATTGTTTATGCTGATCTGTTGTTCTTCTATCATCATCTGTGACTTGCATCGGGAACTCTTTCAGGGTACTTGAGCTTTGCATATCCTAGCAGGTGTCAGTGGTACATGTTTGAAACTCTCCTCTTATAAATGGTTGGTTTGCGCACATTGATGGAGGGTATAAATTCAATATTTGTGTTTGCATAAATATCAGCTAGTAGCACAGCATTGCTTGTGGAGAAAAGTGTGTTTATGTATTTGTTTTTAAATGTTTATCCCTTCTGTGAAAGTTTAATGCTAACACTTTTGTGTGTATTCTGATTGTAGAATGCGGAGGCTTGGAACAATCTATCTACGGCATATATCAGATTGAAACAGAAGTAAGTGCATCAAAGCGGTTTTGTAATTCTTTCTTCCAAAGTAAACAGCCCTGGTTTCCTCTCACACTGGCCTTTCCGGAATAACATTCAGCTTCTGAACATACTGCCTTCAGGATCCTCTTTATCACCGCAAACCCAAGCTCTCTCATTTGGCCTCCCACTATAAATATCATTAGAATGTCAGAGATTATATCATGAAAAAAAACTTTTGGAAAGAAAGGCAGCTCTTTAGATCTTACCGCCTCACGAATGTTAGTAAAAAATTTATTGCACGGTGTACAATTAATTAGGATTTCAGGTTCACAGTGAAGCTGGTAGTGGGAGGGCTATCTGTACTGGCATATATTTTCATATACATATACATATACATACATATACACATACACATACGTACATACATCACACACATACAATACAACTAGAAGAGGCATTAGCTCCAGATGTGCTGATATGACAAAACATTACTTCCAAATTGGTTATGGGTAGGAACTATGGGAATTCTAGTGCAACAAATCTGGAAAAAGGACCAGGAAGCAAAGCATTATAGAAGCATCCACATTCAGGACTGTACCCCTTATAGTGTCTTCCAGATTTGTTGCACTAAACTTCCCATAGGTCCAACCCATAACCAATTTGGAAGTAATGTTTTGTCATATCAGCATATCTGGAGCCAATGCCTCTTCTAGTTGTACTGTACAACAACATTACCATTGTCATTCCAGGTAGTCATCGACTTACGATCACAATTGAGCCCAAAATTTATGTTGCTAAGCAAGACAATTATGTCAATTCTTCCCCATTTTGCAACCTTTCTTGCCACAGTTGTTAAGTGAATCACTACGGTTGTTAAGTTTGTCAGAAGGTCACAAAAGATGATCACATGACACACACACCCCCCCGGACACTGCAACCATCATAATAAATATGAACAAGTTGCCAAGCATCTGAATTTTGATCATATTATCATGGGGATGTTGCAATGGTCATAAGTGTGAAAAACTGGTCTTAAGCAGGGGTGAAATGCTCTCGGTTTGGACTGGATCGCCTGATCCGGTAGCGATGGCGGGTGGTTCAGAGAATCAGTAGCAAAAATCCCTGCGCGGGCCCCCCCACCCCCGTCCCTCCATGTCCAGCTGAGCTGCACAATCATCAGAGGCTTTTTTTTTTTTTACTTTTAAAAGCATTTTTTTCTACAACCTATTCCGAAGAAAAAATGCTTTTAAAAGTTAAAAAAAAAAGCCTCTGATGATCGCGCGGCTCAGCTGGGATCATCAGAGACTTTTCAAAGCATTTTTTTCTGCAACCTCTTGGCCGAAGAGGTGGTAAAAAAAATGCTTTGAAAAGTCTCTGGCAACTCCCAGCTGAGTTGCCTGATCAGCAGAGAGGTATTTTTTAAAATGCCTCTCTGACGATCCCAGCTGAGTTGCCTGATTGGCTGAGGCTTTTCAAAGCATTAGAAAAAAATGCTTTGAAAGTTAAAAAAAAAAAAAAAGTTGGCCACGCCCACCCGGTCACATTAAACACCCTTCTCCGCCAAGCCATGCCCACAGAATCGGTAGCAACAAATTTTACATTTCACCCCTGGTCTTAAGTCACTTTTTTCAGCGCTGTTGTAACTTCAAACAGTCACTTAAATGAACCGTTGTAAGTCGAAGTCTATCTGTACATTTCATGTTAGCTAATTAATCTGACTATTTGCTAATGAGGTTTAATGTGTACTTCAGGGTCCTATTTTTGTTATGAAATAGTTCAAATAATGCGCAGCTGGCAAGAGAAGGTGGCTACTGATATTTAAATGCATAGCACCATTCTTATGTAAACCAGAATCCTGTCCTAAAACAAAACTGTATCTTGTTTTCAACAGGTGATATAGCTAATGATTTGCATTTGCAGTGTTGTTCAGATATTCATTGTGAAAATTGGCTGTTCAATATTAAGTTATCTTTTCATTTTCCTAGAAATGTACCTTTCATAAATCTTATGAGTGGGCTTGATACCTTAATTCTGTATGGTTGTTTCATTTATGTAACAATAATTTGGTTGGATATCTTCTTGATAAAACGGCTTTCAGTTTTTCAGAAACATAACTCACTTGTCAAGATAATTTTTGCTGCTTAGACTGTGTTCCATTAATCTTCTGCTCAAAGGAATGCATCTTCAAAAAACAATCTAAAGGGTATTTTTATCTTTCTTTTTTTTCTTTACATCATGAAAAACAATTTATCAGCTTTCTCAAAAGAAACTAAAAATGAGAAAACCAGTAGGGATCTTACAAAGTATTGTATACACAGGAAACAAATTGCTAAGAGGGTGCATTGAACCAAAAGCCATAAATAAGTTCAAGAGGTCTTTAGACGTATTTATGGAATAAGCAGACTGAAAGATGCAGTTGCCTCAGAGATTGCAAGGAACAGAAAATAGATGCAAAGAGATTCCAAGATGCTCAAGTGTCCTCTTGAAACAAATGTCCTTTTCAGCAACTTTCAATGTTAATATAGAAATACCCTAAAGAAACTTTCCAGTTAATCGCCTCTTTAGAAGTAATCATTAGATATCTTTGAACCGATGCCTTTATTTGCTCAGTCCAAACCAGTTATGATAGTCTTTGAGAATATGACTAGAGAGCATCTGATATTCAGCTCAGTTGTTAGGATAAAAGTTCATTGGCTGCAGCTCCAAAACTTCAGATGCCACAAGACCATGGCTCAATGACAGTGTGTTTCAAAAGACTATGGTTATGATGATCATCTCATCTTCATCATTGTCACTATTTTATTTCCTGCCTTAAAAATAATATTTGGTTAACTCAAGGCAGCAAACCTACCTCCTATTTTCCGCATTCTAGCAACCCCGTGAGGTGGGTTGGTTTGAGTGAGTATGACTGGCTCAAAATCATCCACCTGGATTTCATGCCTAAGGAAGCCTATATTCAAATGAACTGTAACAGTAACAAAGTTGGAAGGAACCTTGGAGGTCATCTAGTCCAACCCCCTGCTCAGGCAGGAGACCTGTACTAGGGATTCGAACCACTGACCTGCCAATCTTTCTGATCGACAAGCTCAGTGACTTAGCCACTGAGCCACCTAGTCAGGCCTAGAACTCATAGTCTCCTGTTTTGGTGAGTATCATAACTACCATAACCAAATTAGCTCCCTATCAGTCTCAAATTCCAGGATGGCATGATTTGGGACAGTATTTTTTTCTAGCTTTGTAACTATATTTGGTTGCTTGGTTGGTTTCCTTTTTGGCAGGGGTGAAGTGTACCTTATTGAGATTTTAGGACAGCAAAAATGAATTGGTTCTGCTGTTGGGTTTCTCTTTGCTAAGTGAGGAGGAACAAATTCAATTGATGCACAATAACCCAGGAAGTTCTGACAAATATTCATCTTAGAAAAGTTTAAGCCATTGTGAAAGAATTTCAGTGACTATGTATTAGTGAAATCAATGTTCATGCCTTTGTGCCTTTTTCTCTCCCCCAAATTATACAGAACATCTTGCTGAGGTGGTCGTCTCTTTTGGGCTAGGAGTCTGGTTTCCATTTCTATTCAATGTTTGGCAAAGGATAAATTCCATTTGGCAAAGGATAAATTCCATTTGGCAAAGGATAAATTTGATATCATGTTGTTTTCCTCTGAGGGTGTTAGAGCCTTCACAGCTAAAGGCAGGTGTGAGTCACCTGTTCTTAATATGAATGATCCCACCATACGAGGACATCCAATTATTGTGTCTTCCGCTTTAGACACCTTCTAAATGATTTTGTCAATATGCTTCATCAATTGTATTGGATTCCACTAGAGGAAGTATTTCTCACATCACTGTGATTATATATAAAATTATATATAATAGTCCCCCCTCCCAGTTAATGATGGCTTTGTGGCAAAGTAAGAAATTTTTTTCACCACTTTTCTTTTCAATATGACAAGAAAATGAAAAGATTCTAAATGAGCAAATTTGTTTTACTGGAAAAACAAAGTATGTCCATTTTATAATTAATTAATTCTTGCTATTTTTTCTTTGTTTTTTTTAAACTAGAATTAAAGCATTCCGGACTCTTCAGGAAGCTCTCAAGTGTAATTATGAGCATTGGCAGATTTGGGAAAATTACATTCTAACCAGTACAGATATTGGAGAATTTTCAGAAGCCATTAAAGCTTATCACAGGCTTATGGACTTAAAAGAAAAATATAAAGATGTTCAGGTACAATGCCCATCATTTTTATTCATGTGTCTAATTTTAAATAATGTGATTCATGGCAAAGAATAATAACTCAAAGCATGGTAAGTATCTTAAGTTGCCTGTTTTAGAATTTCTTAGAAAGTAATTACAAATATAACTTTTCTGCTGCCATAACTTTCAAGCTGTATCAAGACCTAGTAAAAATGACTCTTTTCTACAGCATAAGCAGTGGATACCTCTTTCCCCTCAGTTCTGATGGGAGGAAGTAGCAGCCTTACCCAGTTTAGCCTGGCTTTCCCCAGAAAACACATATACTTCTGAGCTCCACTAACTACCTCAGTTGCAAAATTTCTTTCTTTTTCTTGTACTTTCTTTTTACTCTTCTTAGCATTTAATTTCCTTGGGGAGCCTTTAGCCCTATGATCTGAAAATTAACAGTGTACTACCCAAGAATTCCTCTCAGCTGACACCTCAAATGCACATGATGTCCTCAGCTTCTATCTTCGTAGCATCATTCACTTTCCTTCTGTACCCCTGAAGAGGCAAGCCAATGCAGTGGCTTCTGAGGAACCAGATGTGAGGTGCATGTTTTTACAGCACCCAGAGAGAGAGAGAGACAGAGACAGAGACAGAGACAGAGACAGAGAGAGTGAGAATGTATTCCCAGGAAGGCAAACCTTTTCAGCACCGACTGGCCAGCTGGTCTTCATGCGTGCCAGAAACCGGAAGATCACCTTCCCGGTGCGCACATGCACACTAGGAAGTTGCTCTTTTGGTTTCTGTCGCTCCCGTACACAAGAAGACCAGCTGGATGGTGCTCCAGAACCCAGAAGAGCAACGGGTGACAGCTCGCGTGCCCAGAGAGATGGTTCTGCGTGCCACTTCCGGCCCATGTGCCATAGGTTTGCCATCACAGCTTTAGACAGTACAGGCATTGGAGGGGATGGAAATCAGCCAAGCCAGTACTTGGTCTTCCCACCTCCATTCATAATGGATAGGTAGCATTCTAGCTTCCATACTGATTTTGCCTTTACTGGTGGGGTAAAAGTATGTTTGTGTGGGGAGTGTGGGATGTTAATATTACAGAAACAATTCTGTAGTAATATGTTGGAAAGTCAAAGGAAGGAGCAATTGTGCTGTCATACAGTTCAATATTTTTGTGATGTTGATATTACTTCAAAGAGACACATGGAATTCAGGTTTAAATATTGTTAAATGCAGCAGCTAAGGAGATAGCTCCTTTGTTTTATAATTATATTGGTTTAATATTCATCAAATATCTTCAGAGGAATTAATTACCGTATTTTTTGGAGTATAAGATGCACCGAACTATAAGATGCACCTACCTTTTTTGGTGAGGAAAACAAGAAAAAGAAATCTGCCTTTGCCTCCCAACAATTTTGCCTCGTTGCAGCAAGCAGCAAATAGCCTACTTTACTTTTCGTTTTCGGCATAGCTTGATTAGCACAAGAAAAAAAAAATCTGCTCCAACAATTTACCTTGTTGCAGCAAGCAGCAGAGGCCCACGCAAAACAGCTGAGAGCAAAATAGCTGAGAGTCGAGAGGCCAATCCAATCAACTTGTGCTAATTAGGCTGTGGTGAAGCTGAAAGGAGCTGTTTCTTCTTGCTGATTGCTGCAAGGAGGTAAACTGCTGGGAGGCACAGGCCAAAGGGTGGGGGCCAGTGGGTTGGCGGGGCTACATTCGGTGTATAAGATGCACCTAAATTTTCACCCCCTTTTAGGGAGGAAAAAGGTGCATCTTATACTCCGAAAAATTCGGTAGATAATGCTCTTATGCAATTATAACATCTTGTGCCAGATATTAATTCCAGCTCTGATCAATTGAATGAAGTATTAGCAAACATTTTGGAAACTCCACTCAACTTTACTTCTCTTTAAGGTGCTTAAGATTCTGGTAAAAGTAGTCATGGATGGCGTAAGTGACCGAAATGGGGAGACAGCCAAAGGATTAAAAGGAAAACTGCAGGCCCTCTTTGGCAGAGTGACTTCTCGAGTGACAAGTGATGGAGAAATCTGGAGATTATATGCCAAGCTTTACGAAAATGGGCAGAATGAGAACTGCGAAGACATAGAAAAGGTAAACCTTAATGGCAGAATATGCTTCTCGTATCAGAAAAGACACACGTGTGTTTTCATGGTGATATTAAGGTTTTGGATGTATCCTTTGTGAGAATATGATTGGTTCGTGAAATATCCTTTGCTTGAATTTCACATTCCATTAAGAAGCTCTTTGTTTGGTAACTTGATTAGCAAGGCTATTTATTTTAAAGATTGATAAAAAGGAAAAACAATTACGGGAGCAGCAAGATAAAATAATAGACTTTTCCCTCTTGCATGAAAAATACACATTCAGGCAGAGATGAATTTAATAATTTCTTGTGATTCCAGACTTGCTTAAGATAATTATTTATTTAGATGTACTAATCACAGAATTTATTAGACATAGGGAATGGTCTCTCCAGTTTCATTCTAGGGTTTCTACCTAAGTGATAAATATTACTTTTAAGCAATATGTCTTCTGCAGAATGATTTATACATTTCGGGCTTCCTTTGGAATTCCAATAGCTGAATCATTATTTCAATGCAGCAGCCTTTGGCGGAAGAGAATGTTTCCAATTATTAAACTGTTACCATTTAGTATAAATGGAATAGAAGTCCCACGTATGGGATCATTTATTAAGCTGTTTGATGAGGTCAGTCTGATCCTTTAGCATTACCGACACATAACTATTGTACTGCAGCTGTACTTTTCTCTGATTACTGTGTGAGACACCTTTCCTCCATGTATGGAGAGGACTGAGAAAACCATAGAAAAAAAAGAACAAAGATAAGAAAGATGAGTGAGAAACAGATATGTGAGTAGAACGAGAGACTTAGCAGAATGCAGAAAATGGAAAGGAAACATATAATAAATAACATTAGAAATGCTAGGTAGACATGAGAGTCCTGTGTGGGAGATGGACAAGAGATTAATCAGGAAAGACAAGAAAGGTTTGTATGTGTTTTACTATACAATTTTCAGTTCTTTCTTTACTTGTATTACTTTGTCTCCCTTACAATCATATATTTATATTTCCTTTGTCTTTTCTGTTCTGTTCTGTTCTTTTCTTGCGGGGGTAGTGGAGTACATACTTTCCACGAGGAAATAATTTTTTTTCTCCCCATGTAAGTTCTTATCTCCTGGTGGCAATCATGCAAATGTATTGTCCTGATTTTAGGCAAACATCTGAAAGAGGCAAAATAAAATTGTTCACTATTCCAATTAGTTTCCCTTTCAAATTGTAGAGCTTTTCCCTGTTCATAACCTAGTAAATAAAGTTAGTAGGTGGTATTTTTTGCACCAAGTCTTAATCTAGAAATTCATTATATTTTCTCTGTAATTTCACTTTCCCTTCCATTTTAAATGCATTCCTAGGCTACATTTGAGACAGCAGGATTGCCATTGGAAGAGACTTCCCCATATAAGAGAGGAAATAATAAATATTCTTTTAAAACAAGGAGTGTTTCTGCTTGTGGCCTGTATCCAATGTTACACAAGTGAACTTCTACTGATAAAATAATTTTTCCATTGTTCTCTCTCTACCCAACCACTGTATCCTCCAATATCCACTAAATCAACTCCAGAAATCTCCCAACCATCTGGAGAAGATTTAGGTATATGTGCAAACAGCAGGAGAAGTCATCCATTTTGTTGGCAGATGTTGTTCCTGCAGTGGACAGACATAATGGTTTATAGTTTTATCTTTCCTATAACTGATTAATATTCATTTTATGGGCTAATGGGTTCTCTTAGTGAGAGATGTGCAATCAGAGGCTTGATAGGGATTTGTAAGATGTTTTATTTGTAAATTAATTTGTATTTTTGCATTGAAATTTGATGGACTAAATGGCCTATTTCAACTCTTGGGTTCCAAAAAACCTCTTCCTTCAGATGTATAATTTTAGAACTGCAACACTGTCAAAATATTGTTTCATGATCATGGGTTTATACTGGGCAATACTTCCCTAAATGTATATCATTCAATCATTTTTGTGAATTCTTGGGGGCCCATTATGGACAACAACAAAAGAGTTCACCCTTGATTCGTGAAAATGTTTTATTGTATTTAGGATTATTTTGACATTTGTGCAAGGAGGCACAGAACACAAAGAACAGGACTAGTAGTAAACCCCCATAATCTGCAGTGAAAATGTAGGCTCTACCATAACAAAGAGTGGACATCTTAAAAGTTGACATTGGCCATGTGCCCAATACATAAAAATAACAGGTTGCAATCTTGAGCATGAATTCTCAAAATTACCATTAGAGAATGACATTTGTAAATTCTTCTTTATTTTTCTTTATCCATTCTTGCTATATTACCTGGGTCAGAAACTGAGATTGGGGATGGAAACAAAGTTCATTTCCATCTTGTATAAATATAAGTCACCTGGAAATATTCAGTAGTACATCAGATAGTGAGCTTGAATCTATTGAAGGTGTGTTTTATAATAACAGAGGAAAGTTTTATTCTTGATTTCTTGCATAGAAACTACATTATGTTTTAATGTTCTATCAATTGAGTTGTCTCCCTGTCTTTGTGTTTGCGAGCATTCAATAATGCCATTGCTTTACTGAAGCTACTGACAATATGATTAGCTTTCAGTATTACCATAAAGCCCAGCTTTGGATACAGCAATAAAAAAATACTATAATAGACTTTAAGGTGGTAGTCGGGTTATATTCAGTGACTATAATTCAGCAACTATTCCAGTTTGCATTGGTGCTGGACAAAGAGTTCACTGGTCCTTGGAGTTCCAACTATTGGAGCATCCCTGTGGTCACATGATCGCCATCCTGGCACCCATCTTGTGATTATGATATCACAATGATCTGTGGTTGTCTGATTGCGATTTCCGACATTCCCTTCCAGCTTCCCACAAGCAAAGTCAATGAGAAATGTGTTAGGAAGTCAGAAGTCACGATCATGTGATGTCTTTACTTAACGACCCACAGAGTCAATGCTTAATGGTGGCATCCAGAACTGCTAAAATTGTCTTTGTTAAGTGATGCAGTCATGTAACCCCATTCCAGTATTCTTTTCATACATATATTCTGTGAAATAAAACCAAGATAATTATTAATTTAGTTTAGTAATTTAAAAAAAGTCATTTCTATTTATTTCAGAAATAGAGATCCTCAAATTAGTAAATCACAAACTTGGTTCCCTACAGTACCTCCATTCACTGAATAAAGTTTTTTTAAATTTTAGTTTTCTTTTTGTTGTAGCCCTTACATTGCCCATAAAAAAGTTAGAAGGCTTTCTAAAGCAATAATCAAGAAAGCAAGATGAAGAAATAGTGAAAAAGTTAAAAATGTACATTTGTTCCTGTGATGTGATGTTGATTAAATATTGTAGCATCTATATCCACTGCCAAAGGAAACCAATAGCTAAACCACGTGCTTTCCACTGAGGCTATCTATTTTGGCTAAATTATTCTCAGTTTTTTTTCCCCAGATTTCATAAATCTCACATAAATAACACCAATTTCTCACTTCAGAATTCAAGATGAATCGTTTCCTTGATGTGACTTCAGCTTTCTTGTTTTAAACTGTTGAGTTCTAGTATCCCAGCAACAAAATATAAATTAATATTATTGCTAATTCATGATGACCAAAGAGAGCTTGTCAGACTCAAATATAAACAGTTCCCCAGTTTAGTATAGAATAATACAAAACTTCAAAATTACACTATATACTCATAAAATCTGCTAAACAATTTGAGAACCCCTCACACCATCCCTTATTTTTTTGACACTGAAACTGTAGGTTTGCTAAAATATCTAGGGGAATAACAAAACTTCTTAAAAATAATAAGTGCATCATATTTAAAAGTATGCAGAAATCTCCATTCTCATAGATACTGGACATTAGATCCCAGAGTGACATGAAATACAGGCCAGGGTTATCAGTCCTTCACTTAGTATTGAAGAATAGCCTTTAAATGGCGCTGGCTGCAGCATAGTATTAAGATAGAGAAAGGATGACTTTAAATTATGTAATAGAATAGAATAGAATAACAGAGTTGGAAGGGACCTTGAAAGTCTTCTAGTCCAACACCCTGCTTATGCAGAAAACCCTACACCACTTCAGACAAATGGTTATCTAATCTCTTCTTAAAAACTTCCAGTGTTGGAAGGAATTGTTCTAACTGTCAGGAAATTTTTCCTTAGTTCTAAGTTGCTTCTCTCCTTGATTAATTTCCATCCATTGCTCCTTGTTCTTCCCTCAGATGCTTTGGGGAATAGTTTGACTCCCTCTTCTTTGTGGCAACCCTTGAGATATCGAAACACTGCTATCATGTCACCCCTAGTCCTTCTTTTCATAAGACTAGACACATCCAGTTACAGCAACCGTTCTTTATATGTTTTATCCTTGAGTCCCCTAATCAACTTTGTTGCTCTTCTCTGCACTCTTCTAGAGTCTCAACATCTTTTTTACATCGTGGCGACCAAAATTGGATGCAGTATTCCAAGTGTGGCCTTACCAAAGCATTATAAAGTGGTATTAACACTTCACATGATCTTGATTCTATCCCTCTGTTTATGCAGCCTAGAACTGTGTTGGCTTTTTTGGCAGCTGCAGCACACTGCTGGCTCATATTTAAGTGATTGTCCACTAGGACTCCAAGATCCCTTTCACAGTCTCCACTATTGAGCAAGTACCACATATACTGTACCTGTGCATTTTGTTTTTCTTGCCTAAATGTAGAACCTTACTTTTTCCACCATTGAATTTCATTTTGTTAGATAGCACTCAATGTTCAAGTCTGTCAAGATCCTTCTGTATCTTAAGCCTATCTTCCGGAGTGTTGGCTATTCCTGCTAACTTGGTGTCGTCTGCAAATTTGATGAGTTCCCCATCTATCCCCTCGTCCAAATCATTGATGAATATGTTGAAGAGTACTGGTCCTAAAACAGAGTCCTGGGGTACTGCACTGCATACCTCCCTTCATGTAGATCCAGTTCCATTGAGGACTACACGTTGATTGCAGCTGGTCAACCAGTTACGAATTCATCTGGTGTGATGCTGTCTAACCCACACTTTTCTATTTTATCAACTAGTAGGTTATGGTCTACTTTGTCAAATGCCTTACTGAAGTCCAAGTAAATTATATCGACACATTCCTCTGGTCCACTAGTTTGTCACTTTGTCAAATAATGAAATAAGATTAGTCTGGCATGATCTGTTTTTGAGAAACCCATGTTGGTTTTTGGTTATTACTTTGTTTGCTTTTAGGTGTTCGCTGATTTGTTGCTTGATTATCTTTTCCAGAATCTTCCCTGGTTTGAGATCAGGGTGATGGGTCTGTAGTTTCCTCGATCTATTTTTTTTCCTTCTTTTTTTCCCTATTTTTTCAAATGGAGAACCATTTTGGTTTCTTGCCATCATCCATTTTATACAAGTCCAAGTCCCCTTTGTTTTGGTTTGAATTGCAGAGAGCAGAGTAGGAAAACATCCCCACTTCTTTTTCTCAGGAAAATTTGACGGTATTTCTAAAGTTAAAGACCTTTCAGAATGAATGGGTTAGTTGAGTAGAGTCAGATTTCTTTATTACCTGTACAGTATTAAGATTAAGGAACTAAATAAGTGTTAAAGACAATGGAGAAAAGTGACAAATTATCATTACTTCTACAGACCTTAACTCAATGGTTAATCTTCCTGGCAGAAATATACATCCATACATGCACAAAATTCAGATAGAAATAAGGATGCAGAGAAACAGCTCAGATCAATCTGTAACATAAAGAAAATTATCATAATCTGAATTAGCTCCACATTTTCCTAAGTAACTATTTTCTGATGATTCTCCAACTTTCCTCTGGGCTGGGCTGCTTTTCTTACTTGGCAGAAATTAGACTGAGAAGAGAGGAGCCTTTTTATTCTTGGAATGAAAGACAAAACATCAAAAGCAAAATCTGAATTTCCCTCCTCTCTTTTTCAAAGACCACCTGAGAAAGAGAGTTGAGCCTTGAACATCTGATTTTCCTGAGTTCTAATAGACTCTGCCCAGTATCCAAATTGACAGGACATGTTCAAATTTCTCCTTTAGTCTTGTGGGAGGGGGGAGGTGTTACTCCCTCGCGGTTTTGATATAAAAGAAGCATTAAACTGAATGGAAAGTGATGTTTGCAGCATTCAAAATATTGTGGAACTTAACTCCTTTCTCAACCTTTTAAGCAATATGGACTTTAACTGCCAGAATTGTGCTGCGGTGGCTGAGGAATTCTGGGAATTGAAGTCCACACTGCTTAAAGTGCCAAGGTTGAGAAACACTGCTTACCCTAAGTTATCTGATTCCATTACAATAGAACAGGGAAAAGAAATACCTGTACCAACAGATAATGAAGTATCATTCTTCTTTTGTTTGGCCATATAGGACTGATGGGCAATAGAGTCCATCAAAATAAAATAAACAATAAAAACAATACATTGCAGCATGCAACATTAAGGAAAACATAATAGCCAAATAATAAAGAGAGCTTGAACAGCATTTGATAGTCAGGGGCATACTTAACATTTTTAAGATCAGAAGGGCCACAAGGCAGGACAAGGATGCAAATGTGGCCTTTTTCCTTGTTTTAGACATGTTTTTAAACCTTAGTTAAGTCTATTGCAGATCCTTTGCTGCAGTTTTCATATTGCTTCCTTCATTAACATAATGAGATATAATTCTATCAATTTTCAGCCATGGTGATCATAAAGAAGAGCTTGAGGGCTGTAGATTTCTCCCATTCCCTCGTTACATATCATTATTTTATTTTAATGGCAGGTTTTAAAAAGTAGATTAAATTTACAGCCCTAAAATCATAATTTTTAAAAGTGTGAGGGAATATGAAGGACTCAACCACCTTATATATTTATGAGATGGCCTGGATGAAGATCTCAGCGGAGATTCTTAAGGTTTCAATAGATCTATGGGGGTGGATTGGTTTTGCAGGTAACTTGGTCCCAAACTGCAAGAGGTTTTAAGGATTAAAGCCAGTGCTTTGCATTGAACCCAGAAAGGGCATAATTTTACTGCCATAATCTGATCTCATTTTCCATATCCATTAATAATCATGCAGCTATATTTTGTAATAGATACATTCTCTGGACTATTTCCATTTTTTCCCAGAGACATTTATAACTTTCTAAAATCAGTTTCTCATCCCCTCGGTAATATAAGGCACAAGAGGAAAGACAGGAAGAGATAAGTAGTCATTCAGAAATCCCCTTGACCATATCTTCAAGCACCAATGAGTGAAAACATGTAATAAAACAGGAGTGGACATTGTTCTGGAGATCTCTGCTATCACTGTTATTTTCAGAGAGGAACTGAGTGACTTGCAAACATGTCGCAATGAGATATCAAAGATTCCATGAATCGTTCCCTAGATCCAATTGCAAAAATTTCTGAATTGCTCATCAAGATATTATGCAATAAGAAGGGGAGGAGAAACCCTTCTGTGTCACCAAAGTAATGAGCTCTGATGGATGTTTGTTTATACACATTTTGAATCTTTTACCTGAATTCAAATCTTCTGTCAGCTAGCTTCATGTTGGTAACATAACTCTTCTCATCTATATCACACTATGCGGCTGTTCCTTGTAGAGATCCATGCCAGCCTGCCTAATCCTCCCCCAAATGACATCCTCCGTGGTGATTTGTGAATTCCATTTCAGGGAACCATTTCCCAAGAGTCAAAGTCATATGTCATTTTATGTTTCTTAAGTCAGGGAAGCATCTGGAACCAAGCTATTTTTGTTGAAGAATGGTTGGTTTATTTTTGCCACTCGGACTGTTTCTGTATTTAGTTGAGCATCAAAATGTGTCAATTGAAAGTGTGAAATAGCTGTGTGGCTTACATCATAATACTGTAAGTTCTTGTTTTGTTTGATTTTATTCTGTTTTGCTTTGATGCAAGAGTGTGTCACTGTTTGCTTTTCCAATGTCTGTATCCTGATTGCCATCATCTCCATCTCTCAAATATTGATGGCATGTAGAACATCAGGAAATGGAATTTGTAGGCTACATTAAGTTATCACAATGTGCGACATTTCTAATGAATAAGCTGTTCGTGCACATTGCCCAGTTGCTCCCACTTGGCTCTTCCTGCCAGCAGATACAGCTGACATGTTCCAACCATGGTATGTTTAGCACTATGCATGAAGTGGGAACTCTTGACTTGTTTCTTTCTTAACAAGTCAAAGCCATACGTTGTGACTTCATCTTGGTTTATGAAACTTCTTGTTAGGAAAGATACAAGCCATAGTTTTCTGTTCATACTTAAGGCTAAAGAAATAAAATAAGAGACTCATTTGGGTATGTCAGCAGTCACATTCCAGATGGGAACTGCCAGGCTAAAACTGAACAAGTTGGTATTCTTAACCCCCAGTGTGAAGAACATGAAGTCATTTCACAGTGGAAAATTCCTTCGCAGGAATTTTCTGGGGAGCCACAGGAATTTTTAAATGTCCCTATGAGCAGGAATCAAGAACTTAACTAGGTTTCTGAAAAATGTAACATATTTGTATACTTTAAAGCCCAGGTGTCAAACTGGCGGCCCACGGGCTGGATGCGTCATGTGCAGGCCACAAAATGTTATGAGGCAAAAAATGTTGCGATACGTCACATGATGCGATCAAGTTTGACACCCGTGCTTTAAAGTGTGCAAACCAGATAACAACAGCACAAAAACTACTTACCAGTTCATAGTTTAATGTCTAATGTGCAGAACCAGGTCAATTTCCCTCAAATTCATGTCATGTTTTCAGTTATGGAGAGATTAGAGCCTTTTTCCAAGGTTATTAGTGCCCTAGTCCATCCCTTTTTTCATAATTAAATTAATAGTGATCGCTATCTGTGTCATCAGCTAACACCACCTGAGCACCAGGTATAAAAATTAAGTTCCTTTTATTTGTACTGAAATTCCTCATATTTAACTTAGATGAATGAGTAGGAGGTCTAATATTGAGGGTAAATAAAATTATCTCTGTTCACACTTTCTGCATCTTGTGTGATATATATATGTCTTTTTCTGATCTCCCCTTTGCCCACTTTCTTTCTAAGTTAATCGCCTCAGCCGATACAACCTTTTGCTGTAAACATTTTTTTTTTCAATTTGTGAAGCAGAGTAATCGGAACAGCATGCTGTTCAATTAATTATGAGAAAACTAACATAAACCAGCAGTGATATCAAATACCAAATTCAAAAATCAAATAAAATAGATTGCCAAAATTGAAAACATTATCGAGAAGGATTTGAAATTTTTTTTAGCATACAGACTAAATGTTTAGATTTAGAAAATTGCTAGACTTATTTTATTGCTGTTCTTTTATTTATTATTTTATTTATTTAACTTATATGCTGCCCATCTTGCCAAATGGCGACTTTCTTCATTTGTGTTTCTGCTTAGTTTTAGACTTTTCTCTTAAATTTCTACTTATCCTTAGAGTCCGAATTGCTCTTTCCAAATTGCAAAATTAATTCAGAATAAAATTGGCACCTTATTTAGGCGCACAATAGCTCTAATTATGAAAATACAAGTGCTTTTTTACTTTCAGATACATTTAAATACGATGACCCAGCAAAATATGGGTCACATGCATCTGTCTAGACAGATTTTTTTTAACTTAAAAATTGTCTCTTAACCATATGCTACTTATATGTCTGTCATACTTGAGAGAAAAAAAACAACTAAAACATCTGTGTTACAGCTGCAAAGAAAGAGACTGCTTTAAAACTGAGGAACTAATAAAATATTATCAGTCAGTATGCTTTATAGAGGGGGAATTTGCATGTATGCATAAAAATAAAGCAACTTTACATTTAGGTTCACAGTATCTCTATCATTGCAGGCATTGCAGTATCTCACCAAAGCATACAAATGTGAAATCCAATCAGGAGACTGGGACAGAGATACTTCCTCTTTTAAGAAAGTAGCCAGAGATGCTCTAGAACTTGCACACGGTATGTCCTATATGAAAATGTTGACATAAATCACGGCTGATTACCTATTTCTGAAGTACTTTTTATCGAAACAATAAGCAGTGGACATAGCAGACCATACACCTGAATATAATTTCCAGGGAAATAGTTGAGGGAAGGGGAAGTGAGATGTAGCAACTATCTGAAGTAAAAAAAAATAAAAAAAAAATTGGCCAGCCATGTCAGTGATTGGAAGCTTAGCAGATCTGCTAAACCTTTTGTTATATTGCCACAAAAACCACATTATTTTCTCTCTGTAGTCATCATAAGTTGTACTGGATTCAAGGGCAGAGTTACCTGCTTTTCTTCTACCACTTCAGAAAGTAAGCAATAATGAAAAGGTTGAAATTAAAAGTTGACTCCAGGCCTCAAAAAGTTGAGAAAGCAGCACAGTTCTTGGTCCTTTCTTGTTATTAGGAACAGAAGATACAGTGGGGAGTGGGGATGGGATGCATAAAATATATTTTTATTCTAGCATACTGAATCAAGGCATTGAATCTTTATATTTTTTTTTAACTTTTTTTCATTTTTTTAAATTAGGGCCTTCACACTTTCTAGAGTTTAATGAGGTTTTAGACATTGAAATCTAGTGTGATCACAGAGCTAAATGTTGGGATATTGACATCACAGCATAGAGATTTTGATATGTGCATGTTTCAACATTAGTTTCAAATCTCATTTTTTAAAAATGGGGAAATGACAATGAATTTAGAAGATTCTAGTGTTTCTAGGGCACAAGCCAGACATTTAAATGGCCATCTGATTCTGAAAATGATTGCATTACATTTGGTTTTCTCTTCTCATTTATAAGACTTTATATAAAACATAATGCCATGATGCAACATGATAGTCATGAGTCCTGATAAAGCAAATAAGTGGAGGACATCATGATTACAGATGTCTCTGATGACACTTCCAACCATCGAAAGCCATTGATGTTCATTAAGAATGCAGAAGCACAAAACATTGAACTACCCTACAGTGAATGAAATGGTAGATGGAATAGAGCAGCCATAAAAAATTGGATAGTCATGCTACTTAGAATTGGGTGCCATCATCTTCAGCCTTTCTAACTTCAAAATATTGAGAACAAAATGAAACAACCTCTTTTCTTGGTTCAAGATACCAGAGGTCTTGCAATAATCAAAATGTCCTTAACCCCATGAAATGGAAAATAGAAAGAAAGCACATTGCTTGCATTTTATTTTATATTCTGCATTTGCATGGGTGTGTACAAAAATCAAACAATAAAAAATCCCAAACACCTCCTAGAAGAGAGAGCACGGAAATGTGCACTTCCAAGCTCTATTGATCCATCCATCCGCAGTGGATGGATGGAGGAAGGAAAGGGAAAGGAAGAGAGGTTAGTTTTACACTATAGCAGAGCTAGATATAAATAATCTCAGGCCTTGAACACATTTGACATTTGATTGTAAGTTTTAACTAGCTAAGAGTAAAAACAAACATGGGGTGAGAAGGAAGTATTGTGAAAGAGGACATGGCTGACTGGAAGAATAAAATGGATTATTCCACACAGTAACATTTGCTTGCAGATTCCAATACTGTGACACTGACACTTAGGTAGTCAAAATAGCATCATTTACAAACAACAGAGAAGTATTAACTGGCATGATAATTGGCAGATTTTGTTAAAAGACAGGAAACACATTTTGAGAGCAATCAATGTTGGCTGATAGATCACAGAAGAGGACAGGGCTAGCTGGAATTCTGAATAGGACCATTGCAAAGTTTCGTTGCAAGCAATCTACTTGTATGCATTATTAAATAAGAGATATTAAAAATAATTCTGGCAAGTCAGCAATTTAGGCTGCAACCTTAAATGACATCACAAAATTCTACATTCCAGTAATACTTCTGGACTACATGTAAAGTCAACGTATTTTAGAGGGAATAAAATTATTGCTCTAGTGGCAGTAATTGCTTTTGTAATAACCATTGCAGACTATTGCCTTATGCTTAATGTTTATCCTTTTAATGAATTAGGAAGCTTTTTCTCCCCAGATCAAAGTTAACTGAGAGCTGAGTAGTAATTTATAACAACCATGCTATTATTGTGGAACTCACTCAACTTTGTTTTGCCTTTTAAAACTCCAGTCGCTATGAAATGCAGCAAAATGAAAACTAATTACCAAGAAGCCTTGCCAATACTGTCTTCTGCCCGACTCAACTTGCGTGGTTTGGTTGCCAAAGCAAAGGTAAGGCTGATAGACTTCATTAAAAGGTTCTCTGGAACAGAGAGAGCGATTGATCCAGGAGCTACAGCTGATGTTTTCAAGAGCTATTGGTTTTGTTAATTCAACTTTTCTCAACCTCTTGCACCCCAGATATTTTAAGAATATGAATCCCAGGATTTCTAATCAGATGGCCAATGACTGGCTAGATGGCTAGGAAATTGGAGCTGCATTACAGCACATCTGGAAGGCATTAGGATGGGAGGAATTTTATTACCTCTTCTTTACACTGAAAGGTTGGGTGGAGAGGTATCCCAGTTTGTAATATGGAATTAGTTGGGAGAATTGTATTGGACTCAAAAGCTATAAATGCCTTTCTATTGTACATCTTTAAAGAACAGATTACTTCTTAAGAAAGCAGTTTTGAATGACATCTGCATGATGATATTTTATTCCAGTGATACAGTAGAGTAGGAATGCAGTATTCGACAGTTTTAAAGAGAAGATCAGGAGTTGGAAGAACTTCTGGCACTGCTCCCTTAGGAGCATATTTCTTACTGTGGTCTTCCATGAGAAAAAAAATCATGAGTGCAGCATCCTTCCATTTGTTCATTGGTCATCTCATTGTACATTCATCCCATCCATTCTTGCCTACCTTTCAAATTTTATCAGCAGTAGATACAGGTGACCTGCAAACTAAAATTACAACAGAAGAGAAATGATACCTCTGAAGCTTGTCATAGTTTCTGCTCTTCACTGTTGCCCATGTTCCTTTTTATCTACCGATCCAAGAAAATGCCTGATTCTCACTTCAATCCCAAGTGGATGAGATATTTCTCTGCCATTGATAAGGTTTACTTCTAGTCCAGCATTTCCATTATTGGGATCTTTTGATGCCCAGTTCTGTTATTTTTAAATTTTTGTTGTCTTTCATTGATGTCAGTGTTCAGAGCATGGTTACTGAACAGTTGACAAAAACATCTATTACATACCCAAGGACTTTATAAAAATGTATAGACCCAGGACTATATATCTAGCCTCCAGTGGCTTTGGTAAGGTCCTCAGAGTTCTCCTAAAGTTGTCAGCAATGTGTAATTGATAGTAGGAGTGAACTAATTATTAATTTGCTGTAGAACAAATCTTATTAACTATAGAGAGTAAATGGTAATTTAATTTTGAATGTTAATGTTTGCCCTGGCCTTGCTATTGTTTTTATAGCAAAGCCCATGATAAGCACTTCAAAGCTATGTGAGACCTTAAGCCTGGAAAGCAGTTTTGCACTCTCTTTTATGAAACAGATTGCTGGGCAATAAAAATCCTGAATTTTACCCAAAGTGCATCAAGTAGATTTTCTTGCTCAAAGCTTAGCACTGAAACCTCTCAATCTGTTTTGAAAGCTGGTTCAAACTGTGCCTTGCAATAGAGTTTTGCTCTTTTTCCCATTTTTTTTTAGAATTTTGACACAAATGTTAGAATCCGCTTCATTTGGGTTGCAGATTGAAAACTAACAGGTTAACATTGGATAGGGAAATATTCCTCATCTGTTATGCACAGAGGAACTCCAGCATGCTGCCTTTGGAATGGAAGTAATCTTGTGTAGATGCCATAAAGAAATGAGATCACAGAAATTATGGAAACGATTGTGGTTAGAATTTTTTTTTTTAATCTTGTGCTTTACTTAGACTAAGGTTTCCCGTAAAAATTGCTTTTAACTTTCTTGTGTAGCAAAATTTTGCAGATGCTGTAAGTGATGAAGTTTCCAGTGACCTCGCTGAAGAAATGGCAGCAATGGAGAATTTGATGATGGAATTGCAAGAAGTTAGCAACCAGCTAAGGAATCAGACTTGAGAAAAAGAAGATCCGATTTCTTGGAAAGACGGAAGGGCACGGCTGGCACGCTTCACCAGTTTTAGCTTATACTGATGAGCATTCAGTAAATCAAAGACTCAAAAGCATCTTTTAAATAAATATTTCTCCATACCATACAACCATTACTATTTGCCAACAAGTTTTTCTGGTTATATTTGTTCTTTCTCAGTTATGTGTGATTTGCATTGGCTTGGATTTTATGGAACAATTTGTGCCTGCTTTTTTATTTAGGATCCTTTTTTCTTTAAGATTAGATCTGCCCCTCTGCAAAAGTAATTGGCTTCTGTCCATAGTTGTGCACTTTATGGCTATGAACAATTGGAGAGTTCTGTTCGTGGTGGAATTGGGAAGGAAAGGGCTATTTGATCTGATTGTGTCAACAGGAACCTGGAAATAGGGAAGGGGGAATAAAAAATGGAAACAACTGTCTTCTGGGATTTTTAAAGCAAGAGAACCCAGTTGTATTTTCTTTAGCTTATGCTTTTCAAATACAAGTATTCACACACAAAGTAACACTTGCCAAGAAAGTTAGTGCTAATCATCTTCAATTTATGGCCACAATTGAGCTCAAAATCTATGTTGCTAAGTGAGACATTTCTTAAGTGAGTGTTGCTCCATTTTACGACCTCTCTTGCCACATTTGTTAAGTGAATCATTGCAGTTATTAAGTTAGTAAGAAGTTTGTTAAGTGAATCTGGCTTCACCATTGAGTTAGCTTGTCAGAAGGTTGCAAAAGGTGATCACTGCAACCATGATAAAAATGAGTCAGTTGCCAAGCATCTGGATTTTGATCATGTGAATCTGAATTTTGTTCACGTGACCATGGGATGCTGCACTGGTCGTAAGTGTGAAAAACGGTTATAAGTCACTTTTTTCAGTGCTGATGTAACTTTGAACAGTCACTAAATGAACTATTGTAAGTTGAGGACTACCTGTACAAGACCACTTATAGCTTCATTTCCATAAACTAGGTGTGTGTATGTGTATGTGTGTATTTGTGTGTGTGAGAGAGAGAACACAAGCATGGACCTAGCAACACCAATATCGGCAGCTTTGCCTGGGCTGGAATTGAATACTAGCTTTGTATCTTCAGTCATCTAAAAATGGAAGATAAGGTCTCCTTTGTTAGATTGGTCCACCACACTCAGCCTTAATATAGTTGCCATGGGTTAGCTTAATATGTGGTATGTACCAAACCAATTGTGACTTACATAACAAAAGATGAGTACATTTTGATTTAGTCCAGAAATGTGCAACTTCTCTCAAAAGTGGATTGGGTCAGAGCTGATAGCTAGTAGCTATTTTAAGGGCAAAATCTTGCCCCATGCCAAAAAACAAATCTGATCTGGAAATCTGTGGGAGTAGTAAAAGGGGTTTAGACTAGAGTCAGGCTGCATACATCCCATAAGCTGTCATTTCTGCCTCTCTGGCTTGGTACGAAAAGCTTTTCCTTGCTTGGCATGATACAATGATTCTATTTGTTTATTTCTAACAATTGATCTTCTAACTATAGTGCTGCCGAATGTGAAAACTTTATGCTATTGTAATTAACAGCCATTAATGTAACCTCTTTGTTTACAAAAATATATTGGCATTTGTGTGATCAATTCTGTAACTTGGATTTACATTGTACAAATAAGTAATTTTTGTATTCGTCCTAAATTTACTGTTTGTTCCAAATTTTGTATTCATATCCTGTCCAGATATTCCAGCTCAGTTGCTTTTTTCTTTCATAGATCAAAGCCCACAATTTTTATTGATTACAGTACTGAATTGTTCATTTGTATCTTCTCCAGCTTCATCTTAGTGGAGATTGGCTGGCCAGAGTGTGGTACTCAGCATATAATGGAGACTTGTCTTACTTTTAATGAAAACTAGTAGAAAATACATAGAATATTCTTCGCTTTATGCTCTTCCCCTTAAATGAAGAATTTAAACAAGTACTATAAAATTTGAATAGCTGAAATCAAACAGCCCAAGCTGTCATACTATACAATATAGGAAACCTTCTCCATAAATACTTAGAATGATATATAAATAGCTACTTCAATCAACAAGAAATTCAGGCATGATTCAAATGCTTACTCACTATAGAAACATTTTTGCTAATCATTCCTGATGATACTAATAAAAAGTTAGAAATACTATAATTCTATTTTTCATTCAGCACCTATTCTATAGGGCTAATCATAATTGTTCAATTCAGATTTTGAGCAAATATTTCTATAATTTAGTTCGTTGAATAGGATGCCAAATGGGCATCTTTTTAGTTGTTAATTCTTAGAAAGGTAGATTAGGTTTCCTAAAACTTTTGAAACTTTTTGTTAAATAAAACAGTAGTCTAAGCATTAGCAGGTGACCGGAAAAATAATACAATAGAATACAATTGAGACAAAGTATTTGAAATATTTTTTATACTCAATATTAACAGCAAAATTACTTCTCTGGTTAAAATCCTGAATTGTCTGAACTGCATTTTCTTTTAATGTGACTGACTCTTTTGGCTTCCAGATAACAGAGAACAAGGAAATAAAGTCACAAGGTGTGAGAAAGGAGGTGAATGGTCCCCTTTTCAATGGAGCTACCTTAGTTTTCTTTGTTATCTGGTCATGGATCTCTTGATAAATCATTCACCTTTAGATAATGTTAGGCTGGGCCCAGTGTGCGAACATTCCTGATATTGTTTGCAAGAGTGATTATGTTACATTATCATTGGTGAACTCATTTTTAGTAAAGTTCCAACAATAGAAATATGTGTTACACAAGTCTACAAAGGAAGTAGGATCATTTCCTCTTTATTGTGATATAATGGTTTTAAATCTTTCACATCTCTGCCAAGAATAGACATTGAGCATGATAGATAGTTGGCAGGGCTTTGATGCTCAAAAATTATCTTACATGTTTGAAAGAGGAAGTGGAAAAATGTGCAAAAATAATGGCATTGACCTTTTTTTTAAAATTTTATGTTTATATTTTAAAAAGACATCCATGAATAAAAGTAGTTGTACAAAAGAGTATTGGTGAAGAAATTGACCCACAAAATGAATTTAATTGAATGTATATGACATTCCTTCATGATGTAATTTAATCCTAATAACAAGCCATTAAAGAGGCAAAATAATTTATTGAAAGATTGCCATTAATTACCCATACTTGAAATCTGCAGAACATGGTGATTTCTTTTCTTCTGCAAATGAAATATCCTAAACTATTGAATAGCTTTTTGTCAATGAGGTTAAAGCATTTATTCAAAGTTTTTAATTGAGTAAAAGCGAGAGGCCATGAGTTCCAGTCCTGCCTTACCCATGAAAGCCACCTGGGCCAGTCACTCTCTCTCAGACCAACTCGCCTCGCAGGGTTGTTGTGAGGAAAATAGGAGGAGGAAGGTGTGTTGTATATATTTGCTGCTTTATTCTTTGTAAAAACAATAAAGGCAGGATACAAATAAATAAAAGGCAATTTATCATGAGTATGGTTAAAGAGAATGTATGAACGTATTTTTTTGCATTTGTCTTTATATGAAAAAAAATGTCTTATATTGTGTTGGGTGGAAAACCAAAACAATGGACAGATAAGGCAATATTTACTATCGGAGGTTTATACTAATAGCAGTATAAGTTTGCCCACCAACTCCTCAATTTGACAGTAGGTGTGGGGAAACTCATTCATTCAGTTTTGAAAAATATGACAGAATTGTCTCCCTGCTGCAAATATTTACTATGTCTGAGTTTGTTCTTCGAACTGAGATCAGGGAGCTCAAAATGCTGTATATGTTTGATTCTATTGCTTGTTTCATTGCTTTGCAAACCTATGTTTTCTAGCACTGCACAGTTTGCATTCTGAATTTCTAACAAAGGTCCTAAGGATGGGTACAAAGCAAAAAGAGGAAGCTATGGTACCTAGGGTTTTGAGTCAGTGGTGGTATTCAGCCAGTTCTATCCGGTTCGAGTGAATTGGTAGCAGCGGCTGCGGGAGGCTCTGCCCACCCGCCCAGACATCATCACATCCCATTTTTGATGCTCTGCACATGTGCAGAAGGTCCTGCACATGCACAGAGATGTCTCACGCGAGCGCTCATTTGTGAACGGGTAGCGAAGGTAAGTCAAAACCACCACTGGTTTGAGTTCCTCAGATGTGAAAGACTTTATCCTTCTCATCCTAGGACAACATGGATCAAAATCTTACTATACTTGGGTTTTTCCATTTCCAGAGCTATTTCATTATAACAATATGATTTTGTGAATTCAGTTTAGGACAAAGGCAGGAAATCGTCGCCCTTCATTCACTGTTGTTGATGTTGATTGTTGTAAAACACCTTGGTTCATTATCACTGATATAAAGCCTAATCATATGTATCTTGACTGCAATTAGCTGAACCCCCCAACCCTTTGTTGAAATCAGGGGATTATTCCGTTCTTTTGGAGACAATTACTTTTTTAATGCCATCCAGACTGGCTGAAGATTAACTTTCCATTAGAAAATGAAGTACAACTCAGGATCTGTTAAGATTGGATGGGTTATAAATATTAAAAAATAAACTTTGTTTTGTGTTCCTTGAGATATCATAGAACTGAAATGGCTCATTGGTGCTACCGAGTCAAAATTCTAGCCAATGCTCTCATATCTAAAGCAAAGCATTTCTGACTAATGTCTGTCTAAATTTCACTTGAATGTAGCCAACAAAGAGCAGTACACCCATCTGGCTAATTAGTTTCGCTGTTGAATTGCTCTATGAAATAGTTCAGTGGAACTATGAAACAATAGAGATTTGTGTATGAAATCCAGTATTTGAGGAGTGCTATCATATCCCCCAGAATTTTCTCAAGGCTAAACATTTCCTAATTCCTTCAGTCATTTCATAGGGTTTGATTATTAGTTCCTGATCATCCCCTGTTGCAGTTGGACAGAATATTTTCTACAAGAAAAATATCTTAGCTATTTTACAGTCCACTGTAAAGTTTTTGTTTTGCTAGCGTTCATTCAAATTAATAGACACACATATTAAATTACTGTATATCTGTGAGTACCTTAGCAGATGCTGGGATTACCTTGACTTTTTTAGCTAGTTATGTGAACCACAATTCATCCACAGTGTAAAATCAGACTTGGAGCCTCCCATAATAGAAAACTCAGCCAAATCAGATCCTCTGGTAAACAAGGGGACAAATTCCTTTGTGCTCCACCTCCTACATCTTTTACTTCATAATGTTTTAAATTGAATAAATCTGTGGCCTACTTATACCCCTAAAATGGATTGCTGCCTTTTGCTTGCCAGTTGTGAAGATTTTCTGTGGGTTGCAGTTTCTTACCACCCAAATATAATTTCTTTGCCTCCATCGTCACAAAAGATGTTACCGTGGCATGCAATGTACCCTTTTCTCCAATTTAGAGGAAACTCTTGTGACCTGCAAGTCTGAGTCATTTATTTTATTTTTTATACCATCCCTTGGCCAAAAAACAGCACCATGAGCACTGTAAAACGATGGCAGCCAAAATACTGCAACAGTCAGTACAGATTTATTTATTTGTCCAATTTATATAGCTGCCTTCTCTCACATAAAAGAGAGTTGGAATGTTTATTGGCATCACTGCTAAAACTTAACAGTTTTATTAAAAGAGCAGGGGAATTAGTATTGGGTAACTATTGGAATTAGAATTACCATCTCCCGCCCCCAATGAATTAAATATTCAATTACAGGATATAATCAACCTTGGGTTTTCCTATGGCTCCTGCATTCATTACTCTCACTTGCTTCCTATCAGCCCACATAATTTTATTCCTGATTATGACACACTTGTGGCAACTATTAATGCTATGTACCTAAGGAGCCAATTAAAAAAAAAAGTTGGGCAGATTTATATGACTAGGTCTCCTGAGGCTCATGTTCTATTTGTCATTTCCCCAAAAAACAATATAAAAGTAGCCTTTAGAGGATAACACATAGGAAAAGTGCACTTGCCAGCACCTCCAAAAATAAATTAGGCCTCCCCCAAACTGGAGGAAATTAATCGTCTATCTTGAAGCATTGTCATTGTTTCAGCTGTTATTTTGAAAAGAAGCTGCCCCAAAGATGAAGGCCCTATTGAAGAGTGTGGACCATAAAGTACCATGCTGATCCAGCATGGGTTGATAAATGTTTTTGAACTCCCCGGTCATACAAACACACACTGGGACTTAAAATTACCCACCCAGGGTGGGGCAGTAGAGAATTTCAGTAATATAAATGAATAGTTTCACATATTGGATACTCAAGGAAATTAAGGATTCTTTTCGATGAATTCCTAGTTCTGAAGCTTAACAAGTTGCAATCTAGCCAATATCAGAAAGAGAACAAATCCTTTTTCACTCACTGCAAACCAAGATTTTGTTCAACATGCAATATAAAGGTAAAAGATTCTGACTTAACTAGTGTATTCATAATTTTATTTATTTATTTATTTATTTATTTATTTATTTATTTATTTATTTATTTATTTATTGGTTCGATTTATATGCCGCCCTTCTCCGGAGACTCAGGGCGGCTTACAATGCGTTAAGCAATAGCCTTCATACTTTTGTATATACCTGCTTAGTAGGGCTTTCGGGCCCCCCCCCAAGCAGTGTTCTTTTTTATACAAAGTCAGCTTATTGCCCCCACAATCCGGGTCCTCATTTTACCTACCTCGGAAGGATGGAAGGCTGAGTCAACCTTGAGCCTGGTGAGATTTGAACTCGCAGTAATTGCAGGCAGCTGGCAGCTAAATGCTACTTAACAGCACTTTAGTCCGCTGCACCACCAAGGCTCTTTTTATGCCCAATTCCTATAGAATGCTTAATAAGGCCATTACAGAGCAGGATTTAGTGTATTATGAGAAACCTCTGCTCCCCCCAAGTGTTAATTTTTCTAATCATTTGGATTAATTTTAACCCTAATTCCAGTCTTGCATGAAGTTAAGCTAACACTGTCTGGGTAGTTGAGGCTTAAGAGCATCTTTTACTTTTTAATTTTCTCCTTTGGTTCTTCCCATTGATCTCAAGACTAATTCTGAGTGTTGTGTTCATTACGGAAGACTGAAGAGGGGAAGTTTTATATTTTATGGTTCTCCAAAAAAGCTGTAGTTTAGCTTTGGAAACTTGTCAGTGTTTCCTAGCACATACTGCCAGAGAAGAAGATGCCAGTCCTAGCCTAATTTAATTCTTTTTCTGGGACCAAGAACAAGGAAAAGAGAGACAAATGGTATTTATTTGCTCTAGGAAACTGTGTTTCCGTACAAACCTATTCGTGTTTGGGATGGGAGCAGCGGTTATTTAGAGTGCTTTTACCCATTTGCTTGAAGAAAACAAAATGTTCAGTAAGAATTTAAGGGAGAAATATATTTCTTTTCATAAAGAAAGATTTATGACTGAACATCTATTTTTATTGTTTCTGCCAGTGCTGCTCTCACTGATGACATCTCTAAGATCCCGATGCCTGGAAGAGTAGCCCAATGTTTCAAAAACGATGCATTTCCAAACCTGAAATGGTTTTGGCCAGTCCTAGCTGGGTAGGGCCCAGAAACTCTGTCATCACCAGAAAAATCCATGAAGCTTAGTATGTTATTTCCAGGAAAAGATCTGTGTTGAGAGAAGTGGAAAAGCACTGCTTGTAAACTGTAACTAAAAGGGGAACATGAGGATAAGCACATAGAGTGGGTCATTATGGTGAAAATGTTCCTTAGATTGTGCTTTGGAAAATGGTTTCATAATAGTCTTATGACCTGATATACTTGTTAAACTTAGCTAGCTTAGCTACAGTGCTTTCAGCAATTTCGGTAGCAATGTGAGTATTCCCAATTTTCTTCCATTATTGGCAAATTCACAGGTACTGTTTGATGCTGAAGGAGATGTTCTATTAGCAACGGTATACCTATCTTTTTGCTTGTTCTGGATCAGTGGAGGGTTGCTACCGGTTTTCCCCGGTTCGCAAGAACCGGTAGTGGAAATTTTGAGTAGTTCAGAGAACCGGTAAATACCACCTCTGCCTGGCCCAGCCCCAATCTATTCGCTGCCTCCCGACTCCCAGCTGATCAGCTAGAAGGAAAAAATCAGGGCTCACTTGACAAACAGAGAAAAAAAAAAAGACACCATCGCTTTAAATTGAGAAGCCTCTCAACTGATCGCTTCTCAGCCAGGAGATCACTTGACAAAGAAGAAGGGGGGAAAAAAAATGACGCCGTCGCTTTAAATTGACAAGCCAAGACACAGCTGTTGGAAGGAAGTTTTTGCTTGCAGAAGCGAAGTGACATTCAGCAGTTCGTTTCTGGGTCTGGTTTATTTGCTATATACAAGCTAGTATTGCAAATATTCTTCACTTTTTATCATACATGGGTGCACGTACATGCTCAGAGATGGCTGTTGGAAACAGTCTTCATCAAACCAAGAGGATGAATGAAAACTTGGCTTCTTTGGCAATCTACTGGAAATGGTTATAGTTTTCCACCATGGTGAAC